TTGGTTTTATTATAGAGCAGCCCATTAAAAATAGGTTCCACTCAGAATCAGATAATTAAATGGATCTGAGTAATTAAATTACCTCATACCTTCATATAATTCCTTACTATAGAAAGCCTAAGTACCTTACATATGCTATTTCCCCAGATCTCAATACATTGGTACCAACTGACAGATCTTTTTGCTAATCTTTAGAAGAACCACCATGAAACCAGCAGAGAAGTTTGCCAAATTTAACGGATTTATGGTGTGGGATGTTAGAATCAATCCATGTTGTTGATATTAATACATCAATTGATTATTTATCTATATGGTGGTTTTACTCTTCAAAAATAGCATTTACACTTTAATGCATATTCAATGTAAAAAATTGGATAAATCTAGTAAAATTTAGTAAGGCACACTATAGGCAAAATTAATTTATCTTGAAAATGGAATTATTTAATCAATAAAACAGTTAAAAATGGAAAGAAATAAAGCAGCGAGAAAAACTCAGGAACCTCACTTTCATGTCTGTCTGTCTATCTATCTTTATCTGTCTATCTTTCACTCTATCACACATATACACAACACATAAACATCATACATATACACACACACTCTTAATTACTTAATAGAAGCTTGATTAAAAATGCTTAAGTAAAAGACTATGAAAATTATGCATAAAGACAACAAAAAAGAATGATTATTATATCATTGGAACATTATAGAATTTAATTCCAAAAACAGTATAAAATTATTCAGTTACATAGCCATTAATCTGGAGACAATTCAATGATAAGAAATATAGTGGATTTCTTTCCTGAATAAGGAGATGAAAGAGAAATACAGTGTGACAGAATCAAGCAAGATTAAAAAAAGTGCTCTATTTTCCCATCCTCACTTTTGTAAGTGCAGTTCAGAATCATTTCTGTGTATTCTAGGGAATTCTCCTTTTCTCTCTTTAGCTATAACTTCCAGGAAAGCCATCTGGAATCAGGGTATTGATGAGTTCTAAAAATAAAAGTCCCATTAGTCGCTCTTGCCTAGATCACCTTACCAACTCATTTGCCTTTCACAGTAAGCAGCATGGTTAATAACAAACTTTTACAACACCCTTGAAATGCAGAAGACAAGTAGAGAAAAAAAAGATAGACAAAGCTAAGTAGCCTTGCTAATGTTGTCCATTTAATCTTCTAGAGGCAGTAGCTGTTGTAAAAATCTGAGGCAAAGGCCCAGAGAGTGTTGTAAGTGCCAGAATCTCCTACATTTTTGTAATTCAGGCATTTCAAAATTTATAAATTTATTTTAGTCCTTTCCAATTGTGCATTTAATACTGTTGTAATAAAATATTTCCTATCCAAGTACCATTTTCTTCTTGTTATTAGGACAATAAAAATGTGCAGATTCATATAGATTTTTATGCTAAAAGACACAATGAGTATCTCTCAAAAACATCTTGTGTTTGTAGGGCCAAATTAAATCTGATATCTTAAGGAACATTTTACACAAAGCAATGCAGAAATGATATATCACTCTCTGCTCTGTTCTTTGAATATTGCTCACAATTTTTTTTCTGTTGTTTTGTAATAGATTTAACCATATGAAATTTCAGATATTCATCATTTTAATCTACATAAATGGCAATTGTATATGGTTTAACTTCCTAGCTGCACATGTATTTGATTTCCTCAGCAACTGTAAGCAAATTGAAGGTACAAGATTGTCCATTATTTACCTTTCTATTTGAAGAACATAGCATGCAGACTGACAAATATCAGACATATTATAAACGGTTGTTACCTTTAAACAAATGGATAAGGACGTGAACTGCTCTAAGAATTCAGTAAATTTAAAGTCAATTGGTCAAGAAAAGGATGTTCCTCTACTCCCCTGGGATGTATTTCAGGAAAGGACAAACACCGCATTCAAAAGAAAGCTGAAATTTTTTTGTTTTATTTGTATTTTTAAGGTATGTTTACAAAATGGCAAATATTTAGATGACTGGCCAAATATTTTATTCTTCATGTATAGGTTTTCATGTGTAGATACAGTTTAAAACTGAAACATAATTACAGCTATAAAATTTCCATTATTTTTACACACTTTATATAGCATACAAATAAAAACTTTTCTGCCAGATGTGATGGCATAATAAATGTATGAATCCAAGCATATAAATATTTATAATTTGTGGAACATTATATTAATTTCAGAAGGATAAATAAATGAAACATCCTTCTCATTAGAGGGAAGGAAAATAAGATATAGTCATCTCTGAGAAAAATGCAGCAGTTGTGGTTTAAGAAACCAGGAATTTCTCAAATTATTTTTTCCATTTTTACACTTGTAAAGATATCCTTACTGTCACATGCTTTTAAAAAAAAATGATACTCATCGTATTATTGGTTGCCAACTCATCAGCATGGTTTTCTGTCTAAACAAAACCTAATTCTCCATAGTTGATAATGTGGCTTGTTCAGGGAGTAGAGAGCTTGGCCTGGTGGTAAGAGCCGTACCAGGCCAAAAGAGTGCCCCCCAAAAGTGCCTGGTCAGGGAATTCTGGCACTGGAGAGCTAAGATGGGAGCTTTCTATTCTGGGGCATTGGGACATTCTAGAAACAATAAAAGCCACCATTTCTGAGGCTTGTAATGTGTATGTCCAGCACATTTTATATACTTTTATATAATCCTCACAGCAATCCTGCAAAATAAATACTGTCACCTCTACGTTATAGATAAGTTAGCTAGTTCAGAGAATTAGTTTGTCCATATCACTTAGCTAGAACGCAGATATCACTCTCTCTGCAAAGCCCATTATCCTTCTACCATCCTATGTTGCCATAATGACAGCCTTTCATTTCTCCAACAAATACTTATTAGTACTTGCTCTATGCCTGGCATTGGACTAGGCAGTAAGCCTTAGCTTCATGAACCTTAGTGTGGGGGAGACATGAAATAAACAAATAACTTGCCAAATATATATTATCCAGCAGTGATAAAGTGCTCTGAAGTAAAGCAAAGCCAGACTGATGTAATAGCACCTGAAGATGGCTGCTACTAGGGTAGGGGGCATCAAAGAAGGCCTCTCTGAGGAGGTGCCATCTGAGCAGAGCCCTGGGTAAAGTACAGCAATGAGACGTATGGATACTTGAGGGATCCACGGAACAGCAAGAATGATGCCCTCAGGTGGTACCTTGGGCATGCCACCAATATGGCACCAGAGTGGTGGCATTCAGTCAAGCTGTTTTCTGTTACCTTCCTTTCAACCAGACTACGTCAAACAAAATCACCGGGAGCCCACCAGGTTAGTCTCTGGGGACTTCTTCCATAAACAAGTTCACCTCCCAAAAAGGGCACTTCCTGTGGACAGAGAAAAACATCTGAGGAAGTCAAGTTCCCTGACTTTTTCCCAGTTCAGCCACTGTAGATGAGTGTGACCCAGCTTTCTGTGGATTCATTGTGCTCCTGAACCTGGATGGAGCTCTAGGTCTCCCTCTGAGCTGCCTTTAGATATCCAAGAAAGCTGCATCAAGAGTGAGCGTGAGGAGACAAAGAACCTTCCATAGATCAAGCAGTGAAGGAAGGCTCTGTCTTGTACTGGGGCTTTCATGCATTTACAGCAAGCTTCACTTACCTGTGGAGCCTGAGGAGGCAGCAGGTCAGCCTCACAACAGTGGGACCCACTTATGCTTGCTTGCTCAGTGAGGGTCCACACCTTTTGGGGAGAATATAAAGACCAATAAAATATGTCAATTCTGAAGTTTATGATCTAGTGGAGGAGATGGACAACATTCCTACAATGCTAAATACAACAAATGGTACATGGTCTAAAGAAGTATGGAAGAACAAGAGATTATTTCTATTTGGAAAAATGAAGTCAGATACTATGTAAGGTATCTAGCAAAGTGCCTAAAACTTAGTAAATACTCAATAAACATTAGTTATTACCTTAATCAGGATTGACTTCATACAGGAAACAGAGTTGGAGGCAAGGTAAAATTGACAGGAAAATTACAGGATGCCCAATGAAATATGTGTTACAGATTAAAAAAAAAAAAGTTTTAGTATAAGTATGTCCCAAATATTGCATGGGACATACTTATAATAAAATGTATTTGTTGTTTATCTGAAATTCCAATCTAAATGGGCATTCTGGTTTTTTATTTGCTAAATACTGGCAATTCTTAGCCAAGGAAAATTTTGCTATGGTGATGAAGAGCACGGAAAGTAAATTAGCTTGTCCAAAGGCATAGAAACAGGAGAGAAATGGTGTTTTCCATGGCACTTTATGTTCTCTAATAATTGTTAACACTTACCGAGTACTGTACTTAATATGTGGCAATCATTACTCTGAGCACTTTACAAGGATTGATTCATTTATCCTTCATAAAAACATGTGGTAGGTTATCATTATCCCCATTTTAAAAATGAGGAATCTGAGGCATAAAGAGGTAAAGCAATTAACCCAAAAGCACAGAACTGGGAAATGGTGTAGCTGGGACTATGAACCTAGGATGTTTGCATCCTGGGGCTGCTGTCTTAACCATTTTGGATAGAGAAAAATAACTCATTCAGGGTAAGCTTTTAGAAGGTTGAAGGGCAGCCTATCAACACAGTGATTTTTTAAAAGTCAGGTCAGCCAACCATAGTTCCAACAGGAAGTGAAATATCATTTGTCAAATCTCTGCTTCCCAGTGGGCTCCAGCTAGCCTGCCTCAGCCTCTCTCCATATTCCTTCAGGTACACAGGTCTAGGTCTGTTCTCCAATGTTTTCCTTTAGATTTCCAAAGCCACCTTGTTCCTGGAATGTGGGATCTTCCCTGAACTGCTGCTTTCTTTGCAACAGCTTATTGGAAGCAAACAAGTGTGGGGGCATTGAGCAAGAACTTTGAGCAAGAACTTCTGGGACACCAACCTTGGTGAAGGCGCAAGGAATGTAGAGTGCATGTTGACCATCCGAACAGGACAAAGGTAATGATTAATCAAATCTCCTGCAGATTTAAATGGGATGGGACCCGGGAGTGGAGGCAGTCCTTTCTTGCAGCTGTGTTGCTGCTCATGAGCCAGCCCCACCCGCAGAAAAGATGTTTTCCATGAGGATCTTCTGCCTCGTCCTGAGTGTGGCAGGCACAGTTTGGGTATGGTCCCCTTCATTTTCTCTTCTTGCTTTCTCTCTGGTGTTTGTTTTACAAAGAGCTTGAAGGTCTGCGTCAGGCTTATGTATGTTTTCACACACTGTCAGCTTTCTAAGCTCTGGGCCCTGCAGGCAAGTTCCTAGATGGGCTTGACACCTCAAGAACAGGGTAAATGTGACCCTAAGGGACAGGCTTATCTGTACCAAAGTGTATCAATTCACTGGGGAAGTTTTAATATTTGTAACAACATTTTTTTTTAAAGAAGAAAAGTCTTTGCTTTGTTGCATCTTTGTTGCTATAAAGCTTTGAGATAGTTAACACTAGCTAACAGAACAAAGCATTTTTATGATAAAAGTTTTTAAAATTCTTGATATTTGCCCACAATAAGCAGAACAGTGGTTTAAAATAGTTTTTCTGAAAGGTTGTTTTTGTGTTCCTTTTAAGATAAATGAAAAGCAAACTAGTTGTCTTTGCAAACACATTATATAGCAAAGTAAGAAGATACTAATTGATAAAGCCATTTGCCTTTTTTGGAAGCAATTGTATTTTTTAAGGTAATTACAAAATACTGCAATAATGCTTAAAGTTTGACTCTAGAAACCTATAGGAAAGAAGAGAAACTTAATTCAATAAGGATTGTGATCTTATAAAAGCATGATAAATATATTTTAAAAAGTCAGTTACATCCAGCCTGTGAATTATTTCAATTTATTTTTTTCCCTTCACCACTCATAAATCCTAATATCAGAAGAAAACTAAAGAGGGTTGCTAACTTAATTTTCTCCCTTATAATAAAATAATAACTAAAATTTTTAATGGGAAATAAAACTAGTATCATTTGCTAAGATGATATTTTGGATAATGTATAACTTTCAGTTATTTCTCCCTCTTACTGGCATAAATACTTAAGTTTTGCTTGTTTTTAATTGTTGTGTCATTTTATTCTGAAGTACATTTGAATTTAAAATTTTATTTCTTAGACAAAAAGATTGTACTTGTTCCTTTAAATAAATTGTCCTTGATTGCTTGAATTAGTATGATTATTATTTGGATATATATTTTTTAATCAGACAACAAATGTTAACTGATTTTACAAATAAACTTTCTGGGCTTGAAGTTGTCATACCCAAATCCTTGTAAGTTGGTGACACACAATGAAAATAGCTAAAACCTAAAACCCACGTTGATTTATTAGAATATAAAGGCTGGTTGGAAGAATATTTTTATCTTATTTCACCTCAGAGGTCACAATAGATCTAATCATAAGGTGTTCAGAAAAGCTGTCAGTCATAGACCATTATTTTTTCTTTCCGTGTACTTTCCCTCATTTCAATGAAAAAGAAACTATTGCATGAGCGCGCAAACTAAAAAGCATTTCTGAGTCTGAACTGGCACATTTGTGTTCTTAGTATGTACTTGCTCAAATTATGGACCCATAAGGTTATCATAGAAACTTGAAGGGCAGACATTAAGCAAAGATAGTGTACAGGCTTTTTCCTATTGAAACAGGAATTATAGGAAAAAGGACTCTGAATTTTTCAATTATCTTCCTCTTTCCAGGCATTAATGAAAATGAAAAGGTGAATTTTCACTAATTTTGTGGATTCAAATAACTTTTCTTTTATAATGGAGACTTTAAAAGGCCTACCATTTATTAAATGCTTGTGTCAAACACAGTTAAGAAATGTGTACACTTTATCTCTTTCAGTCCTCACAACTTCATAAAACTGGTATTAGGATAGCCACTCAAAAGGATAAGCCACCTGAAGCTGGTAGAGGCCCCAAAGCTGTTGCTGTTAATCTCTGAGACAGCCTCTCCACCTCTTTGGGTTTGACAGGCATGCCATTCAGTGTCTTTTCCTTATCTGCCTAATGTTGCTCTCTTCTGTGAATCCCTAAAGGCAGGAGAGACCGGTCCTGGTGAATTTCTAGCTGAAGGAGGAGGTGTGCGTGGCCCCAGGCTTGGGGAAAAACAGCAATCTGCCTGCAGAGAGAAAGACTGGCCCTTCTGCTCTGATGAAGACTGGGTGAGCAGTGGGCATGGGGACTGAGAGTCAGAATCCTTCCTGGTTGGGCTAGAAGTGCGCACAGACTGACCAGTTAGGTCACAGATAACTTTTCCAATGGAAATAATCGAATAGCTCCTTACCTGTCAAATTAAAGAAGACAAACAGAAAGGAACAAGTAGCTACTAGGAACCTGAGTATTATGGCTTCAAGGTTTCACTGGGCCTATTTATGGTTAAATGAGCCTTCTTTCCAGAAATTCCCTATAATCTCTGACTAGTCCTTTTCAACTACGTTTAAATCAATAGATGATCTGAAGAGACTGGGGAGGAAAGCAGTGGGAGCTGCAAGGAAAACTTCAAAATTGTACTGGAGCCAAGAGATAGACCCTTAATGTAATTTTTTTCTCTTCACTTTCAGAACAATAAATGCCCTTCCGGCTGCAGGATGCAAGGGTTAATTGATGAAGTCAATCAAGATTTTACAAACAGAATAAATAAGCTCAAAAATTCACTACTTGATTATCAGAAGAACAATAAGGACTCTAATTCATTGACCAGAAATATAATGGAAGTTTTGAGGGGGGACTTTGCCAGCAGTAACCGTAAGTATTACGTATTTGATGCTTTGACTTTATAGCACACAGCACAAGAAACAACATCAAAAATCCTAAATAAGTATGGTATCTTCTTATAGCAATTGCAATTTTATTCCAAAGCACTTAGTGTAGAAACACATGCTTTTATGATACCCCTAAATTGTTAAGGAGGGGCTGGCCATTTTCTTATTTTAATAATGTAAAAAACATCATCTTAGAATTGTTGAAGATCACACTGTAAGTCAGAATTTTGGGTTGAAGACTAGAATTTAAGTGTTTTCTTTTTTAAGAGTATATACTAAAAATAAGATGGGCCCAACCTTTTGAGTAGATATTTTTGTTTCTATTTTACAGAGGAAGAAACCGAGAGGTTGAGGGACTTGCCTAAAGACACAAAGCTGTCATGTGATAGAACTAGGACTTTAACCCACAGACTTCACTAAGCTAATTATGTAATTTTTTGGTGTTTTGTTTTGCTTTGTTTTTTAATTTAAAATATAGACCCATGTTACAACCTTCTCACAGGAGGAGGGCTAGGTCTCATTAGGACCAGAAAGCTCTGGCTTTGCTCTGGATATAGGCAGCAAGTTTAGTGAGAACCCAATTTCTTTATATCTTCAGGAGACACTTGACTAATTTAAAGTCAATGGTACAACAGTAACTGAAAAGTGAATGATCCTGTTGACGTAAAAAAAAAAAAAAACACCAAAAAATAAACAACGCTTAGGAACAATTTCAAATATATAGATAGGAAGAAAACCTCATTTAGAACATCTAAAAACATATTCAAGTCCCATGATAAAGGATGTGATGAAATAATAGGAATGTGATCAAACCGATTATTTTATTTCCTAATTACACCTTTAAAATTTCAAAAATATTTCTTCTTCTGCATTTATTTGGATTACTAATTGCTAGGAGGACACCTTAATTGGCGTCCATGGATGACTGCGGGACATAACTAACCAAAATTCAAATGCCTCATAGGTTTAAAACTCACAAATTAAATGCCCATAGAAAAAACTATTATCAAAATAAAATGGGAATAATTACCAAGTAAGTTTCCTTCTTTTGCTGGCTATTACGTGCAAATCACTCAGCAGCTACTTCAATATCCATATTTTCTATTTCAGACAATGATAATACATATAGCCAAGCGTCAGAAGATCTGAGAAACAGAATTGTGGCCCTGAAGCGCAAAGTCACAGAACAAGTACAGCATATCCACCTTCTGCAGAAAAATGTCAGGGATCAGCTGGTAGACATGAAACGACTGGAGGTAAGAAAGTATGGGGCTCTGTCACCAGATTTTTCTTATTTTTGAATAGCAGGAACAAGGAAGGCAATAGAGCAAAGTGTTATATATCCATTATCTACCTACAATGTAGGTATTACGAACCCCACTTCATAGATGAAGAAAAAAGCTCATCGATATTAAGTGAATTTTCTCAGGGCACATAGATAGATAGCCTATTTCAAAAGCAAATATTCAACTTTTGCTTTTCTAATGGAAAGCTTTGACACTGCCATGCCTCTGAGTTTTCAGCCTCAATCTCACAGATCACTTCATTAGCATTTTCTTTCAGAGGGAATAACAACTTACTCTTGATTTGTTCTACTGAATCCAAATAGTTCCTATTGCTTCTCCTGGCTAGTCTTACAATATCCAATATCTCTTCTAAGGACACTACATAAATAGAAAATAAAATGTTGGTTGGTAGGTCTTCAAGTCCAGGAAATGAAAACAGTTTCCAAGAGATAAATACATGAACTACTACGAACTCAATAGACATCATTTATTTATTTATCTCTGCCTTTTTTCTTCACCTTTCTCCCCATTTCTCTAGGTGGACATTGACATTAAGATCCGATCTTGCCAAGGGTCATGCAGCAGGGCTGTAGCACGTGAGATAAATCTACAGGACTATGAAGATCAGCAGAAGCAACTTGAACAGGTCGTAGCCCAAGATTTACTTCCCTCTAGAGACAAGATGTACTTATCAGTGTTAAAAATGAGCCCAGCTACAGACTTCATTCCTGGAGAGTTCAAGAGTCAGCTTCAGAAGGCCCCTCCAGAGTGGAAAGCACTAATGGAAATGCGGCAGACGAAAATGGTGTTAGAGAAGTCTGGTCCAGACAGAACAGGATCAACACCTGAAAACCCCAGGAACCCTGGACCTGGTAGTACTGGAAATCGGAGCCCTGGGAGCACTAGACCTGGTGGTGCTGCCACTTGGGACCGTGGAAGCTCTGGGCCTGGAGGTTTTAAGCCAGGTAGCTCAGGGCATGGAAACACCAGGCCTACCAACCCAGACTGGGGCTCATTTGAAGAGGTTTCAGGAAGTACAAGTCTAGGGACAAACAGAGAGTACCACACAGGTAAACTAGTGTCTTCTGAGGGAAGTAAAGAGCTTCTGATTGGTGATGAGAGGGTCATCTCTGGTAGCCCAACATCAAGTCATCATCATTCGTGCTCTAAAACCATTATGAAGAGTACTATAGGTGCTGATGGTCGCAAAGAAGTGACCAAAGAAGTGGTACATTCTGAAGATGGCTCTGACTGTGGTAACATACCTGATTTAGACTTGTTTCATACTTTGTCCGGCAGGGGTGGCCTAGATGATTTCCGTCGTAGTCACCCTGACGAAGCTGCTTTCTTTGACATGGGCTCAACTGGAAAAGCATTCTCTGAGCTCAGGGAGTTGGACAGGAAGACCCATTCTGTGGGCTCAGCATCTGACACAGAGTTCAGGGAAGCCAGCTCTCACCACTTTGGCGAGCTTCCTCCCGGTGGTAAAACCTCAAGGCAAAGCAAAGTTGTAACCAGTAGCGTGACTTCCAGAAGAGGAGACTCCACATATGAAAGCAAGACCTATCCAAGGGGAGACGAGGCTGGAAGTGAAGCACATCTTGACAGCGTAGGAGCACGTGCCTTCAAGAAAGGCAGTAAAAAATCTCGCCCTGCCAGAGGTATTGGCACTTCTCCTTCCCTGACACCCTAGACTAAGTTCATTATTCTTACAATGTGCTCTCATAGCACCTTGTACTTCTTTCCGAGCCCTCTATCATGCTTCATGAAAATTATAGGGGTTTTTTGGTTTGTTTTTGTGCTAAACTGTAAGTTCCATGGGGGCAGGGACTTTGTTCATCGTGTTCGTCTCTGTATTCTCAAATGCCTAACAGTGCAGAGGGTCACCACTCAATAAATACATGTTAAATGAATGAATGAATCCCTCTGAAACTCGATTTTGAGTTTGTTTAATCAAATTCTTTTACCATTTAAATGTGTGTTGCTGTGTTCGCTTCAGCAGCACATATATTAAAATTGGAACGATACAGAGAAGATTAGCAGAAAAAAAAATGTGTGTTTGTTGGACTTGTCACCCAATGTATTCATTGTATTTTTAGAGTGGATCTTAGTTGAAATTGAGATCAGGTTAAAAACAAGTTATAGTATACTAAAGGATGCTCAGTTATCTTTGCTGGTTACTTGCTATTAATCAGTACATGCAAGTAAAATTCTAAATCTATTGAGGAAAATCCCCTTTGCAATTTGTGGGTATAAATGTCACTTACTTGCAAACGTTTCAGTCCAATGTAAATGCATCCTTTACTTCATGGAGGGAAGTAAGGAACGAGGGAAGGATAGAAAGGAAAAAGGAAGGAAGGAAGGAAGGAAGGAAGGAAGGAAGGAAGGAAGGAAGGAAGGAAGAAAGGAAGGAAGGAAGGAAGGAAGAAGGAAAGGAAAGGAAACCAGAATCTGCCTTCATTTAATCTGGGCCATGCCTATCTTTGTAAAGTTGAATGAGAGTAACTTCCTCCAACCAGCTTAATTTTTTTTTTAGACTGTGATGATGTCCTCCAAACACATCCTTCAGGTGCCCAAAGTGGCATATTCAATATCAAGCTACCGGGATCCAGTAAGATTTTTTCTGTTTATTGCGATCAAGAGACCGGTTTGGGAGGATGGCTTTTGATCCAGCAAAGAATGAATGGATCACTGAATTTTAACCGGACGTGGCAAGACTACAAGAGAGGTTTCGGCAGCCTGAATGACAAGGGGGAAGGAGAATTCTGGCTAGGCAACGAATACCTCCACTTACTAACCCTGAGGGGCTCTGTCCTTCGGATTGAATTAGAGGACTGGGCTGGGAACCAGGCTTATGCAGAATATCACTTGAGGGTAGGCTCTGAGGCGGAAGGCTATGCCCTACGAGTCTCCTCCTATGAGGGGACGGCAGGTGATGCTCTGATTGAGGGTTCTGTGGAGGAAGGGACAGAGTACACTTCTCATGCTGGCATGCAGTTCAGCACCTTTGACAGGGATGCAGACCAGTGGGAAGAGAACTGTGCGGAAGTTTATGGAGGAGGCTGGTGGTACAACAACTGCCAAGCGGCCAACCTCAATGGCATCTATTACCCTGGCGGCTTCTATGATCCCAGGAACAACAGTCCTTATGAGATTGAAAATGGAGTGATCTGGGTCCCCTTCAGAGGAGCAGATTATTCCCTCAGGGCTGTTCGCATGAAAATCAGGCCCCTTGTGACCCAATAGGCTCAAAGAGTGCAAGTGAGAGCAATCGGTTTCTTTTGTTTGTTTGTTTAGTGAAGTGAAGGAAAAATAAGGAAGATAAAGGACTCGATTCTGTACAACCTAAAAAATTACCAGGTGCTATTTTATTATTCTTTGTACTGTAGCTAAATGTAACTGGGACATAGTAGTGCTTTAAAAAATAAAGTTATATGAGTTTTTTTATCTTTAAAATAGCTCTGTGAGTTTTAAAATTTCTATAAGGCTACACCAAGGGACATTCAGTACATCAGGAGGAGAGAGTCAGATAAAAGTTCCTCTCTACAGTTCTTAGGGGTGTTGTTTTCAGAGCTCCTCTTCCCACATCATTCAAAGTCATGGGGCATTGCAAAGTAAACAAGAGATTTCACCAATTCTATTTGAATGATTGTAAACCAATATTTTAAGCTGCAAAAAACTAAGTTGAACAATGCTGGCTTTTGTAGATGAATTTCCAAAGAATTTTTGTCTCTTCTGTTAGCAAGCAAATCCAGAAAGGTAGGGGAAGCATTTTTGTTTTCTTTCTTAATAGAAATAGAAATCTATACCTAGGTCTTCCAATGAAGAGCACAATGCACACTTACTTTTTTCCCCAGAGTCTAACCAACTTCTTTCAGAAATACCTGGAAAAATCCATTAAAAATGTTTTCAATATTTACAAGTATTCCCAAAACAGATGGCATTCACACATTGATAAATAATCCCCACAGCAATCACTGCACTTAATTTTCCATCCATCATAATGTATAGTCTGTGATACATTAGTGGTTATTAAAGTAAGACATTTGTTTGAAATCATCTCACTAAATATGATCTATACTATATGCATAAATTCAACATGTTTACATGGGTCAGTTTTTATTTTGATCTAAGTTGCATCTTTGATCTTGGTGGACTTGTCTCCTGCTTCTAATTTTTAACTTATATTCTCTTCTAGTGAAAACTACTTGCCATTTACCTTTGAAAATGTATTAAAACATCCCAAGCACATTGGTATCCCTGTACATTGCCTGGGCTTGCATAGTTTCTATCCCAATGTAACTGCACCCTTTTTCCTTGGAAGGAAAGAAAGAGAGGGAGGAAGAAAGAAGGAAAGGAAGGGAGGGAGGAAACAAGGAAGGAAAGGGGCTAGAACTAAGTACCAGAGCCAAGGAGCAGATGGAAGGTAAGCATAAGAGCTCGCAAATGAGTCACACAGGAAGCCCCAGTATTCTTGCAATTCCTCATGTGCAGTTAAAAATTCTGGGTACAAATAAGTGATACACCTCCAAATCTTTGGATTCTTGGATAATAACTTGTTCTGAATTAAAAGAAGTTTCATTTATTTTAGACATCAGAGTCCCATGTTATCTCTATACCCACCCCGTTGACACTCACACATAAGCCTACATAGAATTTTATTGTCCAGAATGTCACACTATTAGGGACAGAATCGGGTCCTCGAATGAAAGTGACTTTCAATGTGAAAGGCCATTCTTCATTTATTATGAAGGCTTTGAGTTTATTAGTAAAGAATAGGTAACTTCTTTTAATTTAACAAACAGTAGCCAATATTAGTAGAACCATGATAATTGAGTTATAATTTGGTTGTGGGAACAGTCACCAAACATCTTTTTCATTTTACCTCACCTTTAACCTATGGCTCTCTTTCCCTTGTTCCTGAAATTAAATATTAATTCAGTTTCTATGACTCTTATTCACACGGAAGCCCACTTTAACTTTGTTTTCATTTGGTTACCACTCTCTTGAAGCTGCTCTCCTTAAATCAACAGGAACTTTGTAGTTCTAAATTTAATGCCTTGTAGTCAAGCCTCTTCTTGCTTGACCTCTTTGAAACATCTGCTATTATTGTCCCCATTCTTCTTCTTCAATCTATATTTTCTCTTGTTTCTGGTTCACCACTCCCATCTGTCACAACTTTCTCAGTCTTTTTAACTGTCATTTTTTTTCTTGGACCACCCTTTAAATGTAGGAGTTTCTCATTACAATAATAATAGCACTTATTTTTATCAGTTGGCAGTCAGTTTGACCCATGTGGCTTAAATAAGATGGAAACTTATTTCTTGTTTATAGAAACATCTACAGGAATATGTCCCCTCCACCCCTCCACCCCACCCCCACCCAGTGTCTTCAGGAAACCATTATCCTAATAAATGGCGTCCATCCTAAAGTTTACTTCATGGTTCAAACATCATGTTCTTTAGAAATCTGGAAGAAAGAAGAGAGACAGGATGGAAAATGAGTACCTTCTTTCTTTTAAGGGACTTTCCTGGATTTGCCATCCAATACTTCCACTTCCATTTCATTAGCCACAGCTCAGTCCCACAGACATACCTAACTGCCAGGAAGGCTCAGACACCTAAACTGTTAGCTTAGATACAAGGCTATCCTAATTAAAGTAGGATTCTCTTACTAAGGAGGAGAGGGAGAATAGATGTTGAGGTAAGCAATTGGCAGTCTTAGCCAGACATCTAACCTCTCTTATCCTATTTCTTTACCACCATTTTAAAAAATCCTTTCATTCTCCACAAAACTACCTTTAAGAAAATATATCCAATCATGTCTACTCGTTCTATGAGTATATTTTCTCCTTGGTTGATTTGACAATCACCATAGCTTCAATTACCACCAATAGGTTGATAATAGCCAAATCTAAAACTCCAGCCTTGACATTCAGATCCATAATTTCAAACAATACTGAACACGTCCAGTTAGATATTTCTCATCAGTGTGTCCAAGGTTGAACTAACTACCTTCTCATCAAAACCTGTTGCCTATTTTCTATTCCTTATCCCTGTCAGAGTCATCATTAGCCCTTCAGTTTCCAAATCTAGAAAATCTGTGATCCTTCTCAGCTTCTGCTTTTCCTTTAATTCCTATATCCAATCTATTTCCAAATCATCTTCTACTCTAAAATTGGCCATTCTTACAGCACTTTTATGTTCTTATGTTATCTTGTGTTAATCTTTTCTCATTTGGGCTATTTAACAGTGGCTTAACCTCTTGCTTTACCACAATTCTTTGGTTCCTTCATTTTCCACAGAGTTACCTTTCAAAAAGAAGTCCAACCATGTCTTTCTCCAGTTAAAGGCCTTATCTTAAGGATGAGTTAAAACAAAACAAAACAGAAACAGACTCAGGTACAGAGAACAAACTGATGGTTGCCAGAAAGGAGGGGGATGGGGGAATGATTGAAAAAGGTGAAGGGGGAGTAAGTACAAACTGCCAGTTATAAAATAAATAAATCATGGAGATATAATGCACAGCACAGGGAATAGAGTCAATAATATTGTAATAACTGTATGGTGACAAGTGGTTTCTAGGCTTATTGTGGTGATCACATCATAAGGTATATAAACGTAGAATCATTATGTTACACACTTGAAACTAATACAATATTGTATGTCAACCATACTTGAATAAAAAAGAGTAGAGAGAAACTTCTTAGCTTTTCATATAAGCTCTTTCACAAATTGGTCTCTTTTCAACCCCTACAGTCATTTACTCTACCCTTCAATCATTGAATTTCTCACTGGTATTGGAATACCAGGTTCTTTAATGATTCTGTGTCTTTCCATATAGTGCCTGGAAGCCTCCCATTCATCCCTTAAAATACAGCTCAATAATTTTCCTCCTGTGAATGCCTGCCATGGGACATAGAGCCAGGAATTGTTCTCTGGGCCTTCGTAGTTCTTGTTCATGTCTCAAAAATACATAATTGACCTCTAACTAACATATTTATATTATTATGGCACTACATTGTGAATTCCTTTAGGCCAGAGCTCATTTATGTAGTGTTTACTGCTCTATGTAAGAATGTCTCACTCATTCCAAGATTATACAGATAAGTATTTTTTTTAATTTTCTTTTTTAAAAAGGATTTTTATTAAAATATAGCTAACATACAATATTATATTAGTTTCAGATGTACACCATAGTTATTCAACATTTATATACCTAAAGACGTGCTCACCATGATAAGTCTAACAACCATCTGACACCATACAATGCTATCACAACATTATTCCCTATATTGTATTTTACATTCCCATGACATTTGTTTTATATCTGTTACTTTGGACCTCATTCCCCTTTACCTTTTCCCTTTCTTTCTTTCATTTTTCAATTACAGTTGATATTCAATATTATTTTATATTAGTTTCAGGTGTACAGCATAGTGGTTAGACATTTGCATAATTTACAAACTGATCCCCTGACTAGTCTAGTACCCCCCTGGTATTATATGTAATTATTACCATATTATTGACTATATTCCTTATACTTTACTTTACATCCCCATGACTGTTTTATAACTACTAATTTGTACTTCTTAATTCCTTCACCTTTTCACCCTGCCCCACAATCCCTATCCCATCTGGCAACCATCAGCTTCTTCTTTGAATCTATGAGTCTATTTCTGTTTCTTTTGTTCTTTTATTTTTTTCTTCAGATTCCACATATAAGTGAGATCATATGGCATTTGTCTTTCTCTGTCTGACTTATTTCACTTAGCATTATACCTTCTAAGTCCATCCATGTTGCCGCAAATGGTAAGATTTCATTCTTTTTTATGACCAAGCAATATTCCATTATATATACTATGTACCACACCTTCTTTATCCAGTCATTTATTAATGGACTTCCACATCTTGGCTATTGTAAATAATGCTGCAATGAACACAGGGGTGCATATATCTTTTCAAATTAGTGTTTAGATTTCTTCAAATAAATACCTAGAAGTAGAAATTCTGAGTCATAAGGTAGTTCTACTTTTAATTTTTTGAGGAACTCCATACTGTTTTCCATAGTGACTGCACCAATTTGCAATCCTACCAACAGTGCAGGATGGTTCTCTTTTCTCCATATCTTCCCCTTGGTTTTTTTTGGTTTGTTTTTTGTAGAGGGCAGTGTCACTGGCCCTCACATGTGGGATCTGAACCAGGGCCCTCTGGCGTCCCAAGCCAGTTCTTAACCATCGCGCCACTTGGCCGGCCCTCTTCCCCTTGTTTTTTGTTGATTTATTGATGATGGTCATTCTGATAGGAGTGAGATGTTATCTCATTGTGATTTTAATTTGCACTTCTCTGGTGATCAGTGGCGTTGAGCATCTTTTCATATGTCTATTGGCCATACACAGGAAAGTTTTAAAGTTTCTGTAAATATCTTTACTGTCTTTTTCTTTTATATTTAAAATGTAATTAACCTAGAATTTAATTTTAATATGTTATGAAGAAGGTTTACTTTTGTTTTCTTGGAGACAGGTAGCCAGTTATGGTGGGATCATTTATAAAAGCGTTCTTTGCCACTGGAATTGAAATGCCAATTTTGTCAAATAAAACTTTCCTTGGATCTATTTATAGGCTCTCTCCTGTGCATATACTACTTTGCTCATCTTCATTTTTAAAGTATAGCTTTTGAATGAAGTATTCTTCCTCTTACCCTACACTTTTTTTTTTTTAATATAGAAAAGTTTTACTTTCAATTTTTACTTTGTTTGTTCTAGGGGATCCTTAGAAAAGTCTTTAACTGCCGGTTAATTAATTTTTAGGAGGTTAGGGTGAGTCATCTTCTTTTATTTTTTATACCCCTGACCTCATGTGGAATTGGCGAGTCATCTTTTAATGATTAATTTCCAACTATTTCATAAGCTAATTTAACCAATTATTTAATTCTGTTTTAGAATTTTTAAGTTATCCTTTGTGGACAAGTACGTGATTTGTTTTTGTAAATGTTTTGTAGGCATGAAGAAGAATGTATATTTTTACATTTATAGGCTACAAGGTTTTATATTACCAAGCTTGTTGGGGTACTATCGAAATTTCTAGGATAATGATGCTGGAGTTCATAGGTAAACATGAGAGTATTGTATACAGCACTTAATTTTAATTATTTTCCAAATGGTATTACTGATCTAATTATACTCACAGGTTCTCCTTATAACCAACAAAATATATTTCCAGTTTTAGTTAGCTGACACGAGTGGCGCAGAACAAGACGTATTCAGCCAAATTCACTAATCTCCAATCATGGCTTAGAAAAGCCTGAAAGAAAATGACACCATATTAATAAAGTACACACAGGTGGCAAAAATTACAAACTAAGTATTTATTATCCTTGAAGAAAGCAATGTGACATTTGCTATTTGCTGAAACAGTTGAGGTGTAACAACATTTAGATTTTGGTAGCCATGAATATTATACAAGTTGCTTGTAAGTAATGAAATTTACACAGAAGCCATTTTGGAGATATATTTTATTTATTTATTCATGCATTTATTAATTCACCTGTATATCCTATTTTTAATTGAATCCCAAGTACTTTATAAATCTCATTTATGGAGAGAAATCTTTAATTAATAAGGGGCAGGGATGGCAAGAGCCTTAAACATCAAAAAAGGGAATAGTATGGTAAGAAACTTGCACCTGGGGGAGAAAGTCAAATTAATTCTTATACAAGAGCTGGATATTATGTCTTCCATTTCCACATAGTACAAACAACACTTCCAAACCACAGAGGCAAGAAAATTTGAGATAACCTGCCAGCTTTGAGCTGATGAAGCGGTTGGCTATCACACAGTGGTCTCCTTGTTCATCAGCTCATTGGGAAAGGTGGCTCCATGCTGATTGCAACAGATCACTCTGGAAAATATTTGCTACATCCACCTTTGACTCTACCTACAATAGGTCAGTGACCTCAAGGTTGCAAAACTGCATTAAAAGTATATCCTTTTGAGAGATAAAGCAAATGTTGCAAACAATTGGTGAATCTAGGTGAAGGACATAGAGGTATTCATTAAGCCATTCTTGTCATTTCTCTGTAAGACTGAAACTTTTTAAAATAAATAAAAAGTTGTTGGAGAACTATAATTCAGTCAAAACCAAAAACATATTGCCTATTGGTCACGTCTTGGTTGGGAGGAGAGAAAGGGTACAGTGGTTAATTTTGGTATCAGTTAAGACTATTTGCATCAGTATATGTCTCTCCCAGTCTAATAACTTAGGAAATAAAATATTTAAATAAACAGAGGGCAATATCACTTTCCTAATGTAAGAGGATTTTAATTTCAGTATTATCTTTATTAGGATAAGGTTGGAAAAATCTAAATATCAAATGACAGAGACTTGCTTAAAACTTAGAGCACATTCATACAATGGAATATTATATAGCCATTAAAAAGCATACTATACAAAATAATATTATAGGAGGATATTAAGTAACTTGGGAAATTTCCCAGGACACAATGTGATAAATTCAGGTACTAAAAGGTGTACAGGATAACAAGAAAAACATAAAGCAAAATATTAGCTGCTTCCCTGTTAGTGTGGAAATTATACATGCTTCTACTTTTTTCTATATTTCCCAAAATGTTCACAAATAATATGAACTACTTTCATTATCTAAAACTGCAATTAATGTTGTTAAAACAAAGGAAATTATTCCATTTGTTAGGTTCAGTTATAATCATGCACAAATACATTGTGACTTGGTGGGGAGTTGAGCTACAATGGAAGCTCAAACAGGGAGCATCAAATGACATGCCTTAGTGGAGGGAGGGAGGGAATTCAGAAATCACAGTTTCAGCTCTATGTACAGATGGTAGGTAGCATCTTTAATTTGTGCCTACACTTCAAAAAAACTAAAAATCCAACCTAGAAAATCACCTGAGGCTGAAGGGCACCTGAGTGGAAATAGCGGTTCCAGTATTTGGAGACCATATTGTCAAACCCAAGTCAAGTCTTAAACATAAGCAGTGGTCACCTATGAAGTCACAGTAATTTCAAAGATGACCACTTGCCTCATGGTCACTATTTGAGTGAAAAAAGGGCTAGATAAGAAGGATGGGAGTCTCAGGTAAATGCAAATGTAGCCTGGACCAGTCATTCAAAACTTCAGCCTGTGATCAGAATCTCTTGGGGACAATTATTTCAAAATACAGACTCATAGTTTCTTCCCATGTAGAGACTCTGATGTAATAAGCTTGACTGACACAAGGAAATCTGTATTTTAAATAAGCTCTGCAGATTTAGATGATCAGCGTATGGTGTTAATGTTTCAACAGAAATGTCAGCTAAATTATTGCAGTTCGTGGAGTGTCACATCATCCACATTTTTGCCTCATGGGGAAATCCGTGTTCAGGTTAAAGGCAATCCCTTAGTTACATCGTGAGCTGTTTTCCTTGGTTCCTAAATGCAGATAGGAACTGGAAGTTTACGTCCCAAGTCCTTCCCTATATCCTTTATAGTTTGTTACATACTTTCAGTCTTAGCTGTATAATATGACATATTCCACTTCTCATGCCATAGTGTGGGATTAATAATTTTCAACTAATCTTTTTATTATCTTCATAAAATTTATGAGTCCATTTTTTTAGATACTGTTTTTATATATTCTAACTAGGGGACACTATCTTTTAATTAAATTTATTGGGGTGATATTGGTTAATAAAATTATATGGGTTTCAAGTGTACAATTCTATAATGCATCATCTGTATATTGTATTGTGTGTTCACCACCCAAAGTCAAACCTCCTTTCATCACCATATACTTGACTCCCTTTCCCCTCTTGTACCTCCCTCCTTCCTTCCCTCCTTTCCCTCTGGTAGTCACTAAACTGTTGGCTGTATCTATGAGCTTTTGCTTGTTTGTTTTTTATTATATTCAAAATTATGATGCTTGAAAGGGCAAAATCAGATATGCAGCATCTCTTACCAAATGATATCTTAAGAAGGCTTCCTACTTTTTTTTTTTTTTAACTGAGCCATCCTGCCACCTGTTGGCAGACTCAGCAGCTTCTCAGCTCGGGCCGGGACTTGAACCGCTGTTGTTCAGAGCTCAAACTCTTGAACGAGCTCTTAACCAACCAGGCCACTCAGCCGGCAGGCTTTCTTCTTTCTATAGACCTAGATATTACATATCACCCAGGAGTGGTCTCTGTGTTTCTGCTACTTGTACATTAACTAAGAATCGGCCATCAGATTATCTATGCTAATGGTTTTTAATCTGTGGCTTTATTTTAAGCGCTAGGAATTCATTAGATCCTCTGTGAGTACACAAGGTGGGGTTGAGCGAAAGTCTGAGGGACATTGCCCTTGGATTGAGATGCTGCCGTCTCCCATCCACAATTCAGTGGGCTTTTGCTACAGTCAGCCTTGCTGCAAAAAGCTCAGCTTTCAGGTGATTTGCATACTGTGTTTCTGTCTGTGCCTTTGTTGGAAAATGGGCTCTAAATAAAAAAATTAAATAAATAAAATAAAGGGATACCCAAGGTCTTGACAATTATTGGATTTAGTCATCCAATGTTTATGAAAACCAGCTTTTCTGACAGGCTAATGATATTCTGGAATCAAATATGAGTAAGAGCTCGTTATCAGTGAAGGACAAAGCTATGTAAAACAGATAAACTGCAGTTAAAAGAGAGGCTTGAAAACAAAGAGCAATTTGCCAGGTGGATTTGGGGGAAAGACGCTGTTAACAATGACAGCCTCATATAAAAGGGCCTGACCTTTCCTGGAATGGTGAAAAATTCACTGTGACAAGAATATAAATGTATAGTGAAGAAGGGCAGGAGACAGTGTTGGGACCAAGTAGCAAGCCATTGTCACTCTCAGCTAAGGATTTTGGACTTAAAACTTAGATAACAAGGATATAATATTAAGCAGGAAAGTAACTTAGCCACAATTTTCTACTTTTAGGGCTATAAATATATGTTATGGCAGAGTAATAGATAGATACAGTTAGGGGTAGAACAGAACTAACGATAGAGAAACCAGGTAAAAGCTGAAGTTGGATTTGATGAGGAATTAAGAGAGTGACACGTTCCCTGATAGAAATTAACAACCATTGCTTAGATTCAATGGTTAAGAGGATGAGCTTCAGCACAATAAGTTTCCATGAAAATCTGATAATGATGTTGTGTGAAGGAGGGAAGACCTAGTGTCATAGGGTTACCTAGGGCAGTGGGAGTGAAGTAATGAGAGAATACAAGTTTAAAAAGAAAGGTGACGTTGGTACACTCATTTCTTGGGGAGACATAGAAAGAACAGAAAATCCACTTCTAAATACTTTAGCTCTGGTGTAACTGTGTAAAGAATAAAAACCTGACTGAGGCCAAAAGGCCTAATTCTCAGGGGCAACAGGCAACTGCTGCTTCCTACCTCACTATTTCCCCCCTAAAAAGAAATGGATCCTGACTGTCCTCTTGGGACATCCCAAGATCTGGCTAAGTGACAGAGTAGTGGTTTTTCTATGGTGCAGAGTAAGATTTTGAATCTTCAGGTGTTCAGTGCCAATTTATAAGCTCCTTGAGGTTGGGAATGCTTCTTTTTTCTTACACGTTCGGGGCCTAACTCACTGGCCATGTAGATCATGAAATAAGAAAACATTAATTTATTGCAACAGAGATTGGTTTAATTGATAAATCTTTTTGAACGTTTTCAGTGACAGATCTTACATAAATAAATAAATTTTTTAAAGTGGCCTTTTAAACATAAGCTTTTAGTTTGCCTCACAGCTTTTCTACAACAGGGATAGAATATTCCTCTTCCTAATTTGAAACTTTTCACAATCAATTGGAATTTAAACTATGAACACTGACTGTCCACAATTACCCTTTTAGTTACTTCTTGGTGAGCAGTATAAATGAACGATATAAGAGAAAATGGTGCTCCAATTTTAATGTTATTTATCCTAAATACTTTTTCCAAAAAGTCACACTCACAACCTTTTGATAGTTTTAGAGAGATATAATGTATGAAACAAAATGCCAATGACATAATATACAAAAATGTTGTTATACATGGAAGAATAAAAATCTGTGTTTGGGGGGCTATTGCTGTGGGAAGTAGGGCCTGATCTTCATAGACATCTTCTTCATTGAATACCAGGACCCCTTCCAGTTCATCCACACCACTCCATCATCCGTGCCATGTTTTGCCATGTCCCAGCTGTAATGTCCGCCCCAGTAGTATCTGCCATTTGGATTGGCTGCATGACATCTATTATACCACCATCCACCACCATCCTCTTTAGAACACTGTTTTCTGGGATCTGCATTAATCCTGAAAGGAGATGTGTTGGGGTTATTAGAGCTTTAGTGCTGTCAAGTTAATTCTATGCAAAGTACCCACAGAGAAGTGTTGTGTGCAGTACACCTTCCCCCACCCCGGCTTTGCAAGTAAAGTCACACTAATCCACGAAAGGTCTTCTCTGCCCTACAGGAAGAAAGATGGCACAGCCACCTATATCTGTTACTTTAGACTGAAATGATAGCTTTCAGGTCCCTTAGTGTTAGAGAATCTTGAAAAGCAAAACGGAGGTTTCAGTATACACAGCAGAATACAGAGATATAGAAATGTAAACACTCATTCTCTGCAGGTAAGAGTGCGCTAACTCCAGTTCTATCTTTTATAGTTGTATGGTTTTGAGTAAGTGGCTTACTCTCTCTAAACTTCATCTGTAAACTAAGAAAAAGAATAGCAACCTTACAGTTGAAATGCTTTACAGTGATACATAAAAGAGTTTAGTATAGTGGCTGACACCCAGTAAATACCCAAGAAATGGGCGTTATTAGCAATATTAGCTATCCTTCAGGATCCCAAGGAACAGGGTTAGTGGTGGCTTTCACAGCAGGAGGGAAGAACGCAACACATACCAGCCATCATTGTCTCTGTCGTATGTGCTGAAGAACATGCCGTTGTGAATGGTCATGGTCCGGTTTTCTCCCACCAGCTGAGAAGCTCCTTCCATGAGGGCATTGCCAGCTGTTCCCTTGTATCCGCTCACTGAGATCTGGTATTTGTTGGCCTCATTCTGTACAGTGAACCCTCTGTAGCGTGCCTTCACCTTATCTCCTTTCCAATCCTCCATCTCAATCAAAAGTTCTGTGGCTCCCTTGGTAAGCTGATTAATTTTGTCATTTCCAAGCCAATACTCACCTAAAGGAAAAACAAAATAAAGTCTCACAAAGAATGAAACCTTTGGAAACGAAAAACTGCCTTTCTTCTCTTATCGTTAGCTTTCCCACCCTTTTTGTAACCTCTTCTTAATCTCTTAAAACTCCTAAAAACAGACCCTAACCACTATGGTTTCTAAAATGGAAAAAAAAACCCCTCATTTTAAATAGAATGATTTTATTTTGTACTCTGTTTTTACCTGGTAGGCCACAGTACTTTTTCCCATCTTCATTGATTGCAATATTTCCAAATCCTTGTTTATATGGGCTCCATTTCCTGCCAAAGTCAACACTACCATCTTGACGGTTCTGAATTATTGTCCACCCTTTGGTTGAAAGAAACAAAAGCAATACATATTAACCAATAACAATGTCACCTTGAGGAAAATGCCTGAACTGTTCCTCTATTTAATTTATTTTATACCCACCCAAATTTAGTGGTCCAAAATAGATATAATAAGGAAATAAATATGATGGGAAAACTAAAAAAATCTTTGGAAACTACAAGTGCTTTATCTGACCCCCAAACTATGAATTTTAGATATTTTATAACTTTTAAAATATCAGATTGAATTCCCAATCAAATGAATCATTGTTAGTTATGATAAAGCTAGCTTTTATTTCTGGGAATTTTGTGGTTGTAAAATAATTACAGAAAAACAGGTCAACAATTATCAAATACTTACCTCCACCTTCTGTAGTCATATCACAGTATACTCTATATGGTTTGACAGAGCCTTCAGGCTGAATGAGATACAGTTCAGATGTTTCACCTCCATTTCTAACAATTTCCTCACATTCTGAAACCATAAAATAATATAATATATTCAGGGAACTACAACACAATTACTTAGTCTGTAGTCCTCAATTTTGTAAGATAACTGATTACATAGGTGTCTGAGGAATGTTTTATTTTAGACATTTGCAAATATATTGTAGAAATTGAATCTTCCTTTTACTGAGAAACAAACTCACTTTTGAGTCCTATCTGCCAAGAGGATGAAAAAGTCCTCCTTCATGTTTTGTGTCCTGGGATATCCATAAACTGCCAACACATGGGATGAAGAAACTTCTACATATATTCACTGTTCTGCCATCTATTCAAGCAAGGGTGTATATTACATACATGGAGCTACCACCACCATTGCACTATATCCTGCTCATCAAAAACATGTAAATACTTAGGCTATGACAGAACACAGCATACTAGAGATAGCTTCATGATAAGCTATAATGTCATTAGGATCTGTGGGGGGAAATCCACCAGACTTTTTTTAGTTCTCTGACTTTTTAGAGAGTGTGGGTTCTTCTGGAATGCTTCAGAAATATGTTTAACACTTACCTTTGCCAGAAACCACAGGAATATTGCAACTGACAGTGCATGGGGTGCGGCAGTATTCCATCTGAGCTGAGACATCAGATTCTAATTTTTGTATTTTGCTTCTTAAGCTTTCCAGAATTGAACGAAGTACACGAAAATTAGTCGGGATATTATTGTTCACAGTCTCATCTATATATAAATGGTGACTTTCCAGTTCTGAGGTGTACTCATCTACTATATTTTCATTATCTGGAAAATGGAATTATGTAGAAATGGTTAGCAGTTTCTCCCAATAAAAAAAAACTAAAATGTTTGATTTTATGATTGTGATTTTGATTTTCTGAGAATAAACTAATGGACACTGAGCTACCATCTGGCATCATGATATGCAGTTTTACCTAAGGAAAATTATTTGGCATATGGCATATACAAATGAATGTATAGTCTAGCTACTATACTAGTAATTTAGTAATTTACCTTAGGTGTAAGCTAAAGTTATGCCTAATAATTAATACAATAGGTTGTTTATTTCTTTGGTGAAGGAGAGAAAGAAAGTAGTATTTAGACCTTCCATCTCAGAAGCTCAACATCTTATGGAGTGGATACACTTAATTTATTCATCCATCTCACATAAGTATAGCAGAACCTTAAAATTTACAACAGAGATGTCATTATTCCTTTGAAAAAATGTTTAGAGTATTATACTCACTCAGAAGCCTATGCCAGACTCACTCACTAGCTCATTCCTAACCACCAAGCCAACAGGCACTAGTTCAGATCTCAAGTTTCAAATGTGTTATTGTTTGCAATACAATTGAATATATCATGGATTGCCCTCTTATATTCCAAACCTCAAATATTAAACCTATAAATGCTAGAGTTTGACTGTGTGACTATTTTCTTCTGCGTCACAAGTTTCTTATGATGAAAAATAAGGACTTAGCAAAAATCTTCATAGAAAACCATCCTTACTGGTGCTGGATGGGGAATAAGAGTTGAATGGTGTTTATCTGACAAGTTGCACGTGAAGGTGCCTGAGTGAAGACTTTAGGGGTAATGAGGCCTGTAATACTGAAAGAGTGTGAGTGCTATTTAGGCTAATCCAGAAATGTTCATCATTTCATAATTGTGCATTCCCATGGCAGTCTAACAGTCTTGAGAGGTTGTACAACAGAATCAAACAGAAAACACAAAGACATCTACCTTTTACTTGCTTCTGCCTCTTTTTCCACATGTCTTTTAGCACAGTCATATACTGAAAGGTGGTAGAAGCGGTCTGGGAAACAGCATCCACATTATTATTTAAATCATTTACACTTTTTCTGATTGGTCTTTCATGATTTACCAAAGTGTCTTGCAATTGACACCCTGTGGGACACAACACTCCCTGCAAACAAATAAAATAGCAACCATTAGATGAAGAATTGGGATTATGAATATTTGTGCAAATAGCACACAGTGAAAAGTTAATGATATCATTAGCCAACATAAAAACTTGTCTTTTGATTTCCTTTATGTAAGACCAGACATTCTAAAGTCTTTATATTTCTGTTAAGATGAAAAACACTCCTTGCCACAGAATAAATGTAATCAGGCTATGAAAACTTTACCACCTGAACAAATGAAGTGGGTGAATGATTCACAGGTAAAAATACTCATGTGTCCTCATTTGCGATCTTGAGCCAAGATCGAAGAGAACTAGAAAGGAACCCTTACCCTAAGGCCCAACAAATAAACAAACCAAATAACCACATTGGCAACATGAGTCAAGGTGACTTTAGGAAGCCATGATGAATAGAGGCTTTCTCTGCATGGGAGACCCACCACTGGATGAAACATGGGTGCACCTACCAGGTCTGGGTCAGCATGAAGACAGCCTCCAGCATCCGGGGCTTTTCTTTCCGATTTCTTCTGGCTGGCAGCTACTTTGGCTGGACGAGCCCGATAGCCACCTCCACTGACGGGAGGCGGGGCAGGTCTCAGACTGGGAGCCTCTTCTCTCGTCCTGTCGATGGGTCGATGACCACGGGCATCCAAAGTGGTCTTCAGAGAACCAGGCAAAAATAAAATGTAGAGTGTTATAGGGGATTTGAGATGTAACTATTCCAACACCTTCATTTTTTAATTTAAGTTATCCATGACTGATGATTTGTGTAAGGTCCATCAACTGGCTAGCTGTTGATGGTAAACCAAAAGGTTGCTTAGGTCTCTTCAGTAACAGTAGAAAAAAAAACTGCACAAAAAGCTATTGTACCTGAGGCAGTTTTTTAAAAGAGGCCCTAAAATAAAGCTGCATCAGATTGTGCATAGTAATGACCTCAGATTGAAACCTATACATAGGGACACACAAAATAGTAAGAAATCTATACTGTCAGGATGAATAAATCTTCTCAAGCCACTTGGATGACTAAATTCCTATAACTATTGCTAATTATTTCCCCATTTTCAGTTTTTATAAATCAATTCATTTGCCTAACACCCTAAGGCAATACAGATTTATTACAAGTGAAATTTACTTAGGATTTATTTGTAATAAGACAACCCTTGACTAACATGTTTGAAGAGGAACAAGACACTCTGGACCCAAACTGCTTGGCTTGACCCTGCCACTCACTGGCTACAAGATCTTGGACAAGTTACCTTATATGTGCCTCTTTCCTTATCTGTAAAGTAAGGATAATAATAGTATCTGGCATATAAGATGATTGTAAGGATTAAATGATTTATGGCATATGACACACTCAGAAGAGTACCTGGCACATAGTAAGTATTCATTATTATTTTTATCTCAATGTAACATAAGATATACGATAGTTTAAGCAGCTTTTCCACTACAAATCCCAATCTTATCCTTATCTTCTGTCAACAAACATATGTGTTTAAACCATTCTTGTGAAACTTCCTTCATGACTTCTTTATCAAATGCCATGACTTTTTCATATTTAAAATAATTCTCAAGGTATGTGTGTTGATTAAAATTGTTTGCTAACACAAAAGATATTACACTAAAAGATAATGAAATGGAAAATATGCAGTGCAATATAAAAGGGTTGGGTTGAATTAACTATGTTATCATATGGTCTTTGTCAGTAATTACACCCTTTGGGGATTAATTGCAAATTAATAAATGACTAGATTTGAAGCAGAAACTAAGATTTCCAGCTGTTTTGAGAGCCTAGAAGTCATCCAATGACTCTATTTGGAATTTTACTGTCACTTATTAAGTTATAATAACATATAACATTTAGTGGGAGGCTACTAGGCTTTAAACCCAGGCAGACTGATACCTGATTCCCCTGCTTAACTGCTGAACTTAAACTATAGTATCTGTTATGTGTGCTGGCAATAAAAATAATAATATGCGAAGATTTGGGGGAAATATACATATTTTATTTCGAAGACATGGTCCCAGTCATAGTTGGTTTGTTCTAAAAGGAATTTTATAAAATGTAATTCATCTGTTTAGTATAAATCAAATTATTACAGAAGAAAAATATTTTCTTTTTTATTTCAGAGTGTTATTAGAGAGGTAGCATTGATTGTCTAGCTTTACAAAAGAAAAGGAAATGAAAAAGAGATTTTGAAATTATATGAGTATTTAGGTCTATGAAGACCACTTATTGAAATAACTAAAACTAGAAAATTTATTTTGAAGCATAAACTTGTAAACTGTCTCTGTAGGGGTTAGTTTGTGAGCAGAAATGTAAAAGTGCTCAGTCAAGCACTTTACAAACATTCACCGTTCCACATTCTTGACATTTTTTTATACCTAATGCTATTAACCATACAACTATTTTATATATATATAGTTTGATGATAAGATCACCAAGGTTCCCTTCAAATTCATCAAATGATTCAAAATGAATCATTTCATTTAAACATATTGTATACTTTTATTTCTAGTGTGATGATACTATATTACATATGAGAAATTTGATCATGATTCATTTGATGCTAAAATTAAAATTCCTTCAATATTCATTTCCTTAAATACATTTCTATATTTCTAATATCTTCAAACTAACAGTAATAAATCAGCAAAGATAGTACTTGAGGAAAACCTTCTACAAATGAATAAATTAAACTGTGCTATATGTTTCATAATCATTAATAATAATAAATACTACCTATGATTTATTTTCTCTTTGAAAAAAAAATTTCATTTTCTATCACTGCACTTGATCTAGTCTGCTTTTAGATTTACTTTATACTTTTCATTCATGAATAGCCAGTAATTTCAGGACCTATGTATGACTCTCCTTCACCAAAAAGATACCTAGCTGTCACAGCTTTTTTTCTTTTTAAATACTCTTCTTTTATTATTTTATAGTCTGCAAAATGTTCAGACTTTTGTCCTTATAACTGTAATAATGTATTGCTAGAACTAAATGAAAATCATAGTACTCAGGACAAGTGAGAAAAACACATCTTACCTTAGATATGTCATCTTCATCCTGGGAAAACAAAAATGAAAAACCAGAAAACAAGAAATTATTATTTGTTTTTATATAAGCAATTCTATGTAACATTCTTTTTTTTTAAAAAAAAAGGGTCCCTGAGATTAACAATTCCATTTCACAACTAAAATCAATGTTAATTTCATTAAAATATTCACATATGATTTTTATTCTATTTTATGTTAATAATATTAGTGATAATATAATAATTTTTTAAAAGTCACCTCATTTTCGTAGTCACTTAAATCTTGGGACTGAACTATAAAAACACACAGTAGTAGCACTAATAGATGTTTCATGATTTAAAATTTTTGGAAGTTCCAAGAAACCGTTCTTTGCTCATGGACTTAGTTGAGAGATCTTCAATCTTATATATACCTGAATCTTCTGTTCGGTATGACTTTAGAAATGGTTACCTTCCTTAGTTAATATTTAATTTTTTGGCTCACTTGTTGGCTGAACCATTTTATCTCTTAAGCAACATCTTCCCAGCAAGACTTATTTATTTGTCATACAGCTATTCTCTGTTGGCCGAATTTAGATACACCGAAGTTCTTCAATTCATTTAATTGGACAATGTGATGGGAAATTAGGACATTCTTAAAAGAGGTGTTTATCACATTTCCCGTAAATTAATGTGGATGCTGCCCAGTCTTACAATGAATGTATGAGGAAAACACTATTTTTAATCCAAGCACAAAAATTTGAAGCTACTCACAAGGCATCCACTGACATTTTGAGCTCACTGAGGTATGCCATAAATGTGTATGTTCTTGAGGCAATCAACTTTATTTTAGTAATCTAATCAGGGTTTTATTTTAATGATGACAGATTCTTGCTGATTTAAAAACACTATTATATATCAATTTTACCTCAATAAAAATAAATGAAAATAAAATAAAAAGACTATGTTAAGAAGACTAAAACAATCTTTTTCTTTTGAGGTAATATTATCATTATTACTTCATTTTCAAGCACTGACATTTTATTAACTAGCAATAGAACCATTGTTTAATTTCCAGAAATTTGTTATTTTTTTTGTTTCTTCTAGCATATTATAGAATCGTGTACAATGTTATAATGAAAACTCCTTTACATTCCCACTTTTTTTCATACTCTGTCTGGCATTCTTGCCATCATCATTAAGAAGGTGGAAGGAAACTACTAGAATGTATGTTCCATAACAGCAGAGACTTAATATTCATTCCACAAATAGTTCTCAAGGGCCTCCTACGTGACAGGTAGTGTGCCAGGGGATGTGGATAGACCGGTGAGTAAGATAGTAAGCATACGACAAAAAATCTAGAATGAATGAGTTCACTAGCCTTCATTAAAACATGCCTCAGAGGCCAAGCTCTGATAATCATTAATCTGATTTAATTCCTGAAACCACCATTTCATACAGATGATGAAACTAAGGCTAGGTGAGGTTAAGTAAATTACCCAAGGCAAACAGGTAGCAAGTACTAGTACCAGGACTTGACCCAGCTGTGTCTGATCCTACAGTCCGTGCACTGTGCCCATTACACCATATTGCCCAACAAAATGCAAACATTATAAAGAATTTACTGGTACATTTTTAGTTTGTTGTTGTTTTGGACAGCCCATTGTCTTGGGCTTATAGTGTCCCAGACTGGCACACTCACTGTTTTTCTTTTTTATTATTGTTTTTTTTATTAGTTTCAGGTGTACAAAGTTAGACATTTACTCTCCTCACAAAGAGATAACCCCTCTCCCCCAAGCTACTACCCCTCTGACATCTTATATAACTGTTACGATACCACTGACTCTCTTCCTTATGCTATACTCCACCTCCTGTGACTATAATATATATACATTTAGTTGACATACAATATTATTCTACTTCAGCTTCAGGTGTATAGCACAGTGGTCAGGCATCTATACAGTGTATGAAGTGATCTCCCTAAGTCCACTGCCCGTTTGGCACCCTACATAATCTTTACAACATTGTTGATTATATTCCTCATACTGTATTTCATATCCCCATGACTATATTGTGTGGCACACTCACTCTTAGCCTTTATTTTCACTTACATTTTCACTCTCCTATAACTATGGGTGTGAATAATCATGTCTGTATCAGGGGCATGGCGACACAGTGATAAGAACTGTGATTGTTTTTTTTTAAAATTCTAGTCCTTGTTAGATATTTTTTCTTGTAGAGTGATAAACAGCTACACTAACACATTAAAGTACCTATTATGACAAAATAAATTATATTTTCAAAGAGAATGAATATATTTGCAGAGATTTTACTTACTATTAGTAAAATACATAATTTCTTTAAAACATTGATGCCATTGGTGGAGGAGGAAGGGAGTGCTATTTGTTCAGGTCAATGTACAGTGTTCTTCATATTCAGGGATATTGTTACGTAAGTCAAGGGCAGTAAATCAGTGACAGAGAAGACATCATTTGGCCTGCCCAGCAGCTCTCTGGCATGAAGGGCAGATTTGTGGGCACCGTCAATGCGGTTGTTATTGATACTTTTACAATTCATGTCAGGCTCAGTCTATGGAGTACAAGGCAATTGATGTTGTTCAAATATTTATAAAACACCTATTTTGTGGCAAGGTAATATACTGGGGCCGAAGATACTTTGGTGACCAGGAGAGACAAGTGCCCGGTACTCATGAAGCTTTATATCTAGAGGGTGAAGGGGACCAAGGTTTTGCTACCCTAAAGCTGCCTTTCGGATACTGAGTTTAAGCTGCTTATTAAGAAACAAAAGACGCAGAAAGAACCCTTGACACTCCTCCTTTCCTATCCAAGAGATTCAGACTTGCTCCAGGAAGGAAATCTTAGCTCATTCACCTTAGCCTAATTTGAATTAAGTAAGGTAGCTAGGGTGGCACCAAGCAGGGGCCATATCCCACTGAAACAAAAATTTGCCTGCTTTGTGAGTTCCATTCTTCCTCAATTACCTGTAAATCACCCATTCTCACTTTTGAAATCTATCCTGTTCCCCCCTTTCTCCTTTGCCCAAAATGACATATATACCCAATGTTGCCTTGCTGTCTTTGGGAATTTTCATGCTTTTGTGAATTCCCTGTGCAGATGTATTAACATTGATTGTCCCCTGTCAATCTGTCTCCCTTAATTTGATTATTAGCCCAGTTGAAAGAATTTAGAAGGTGGAAGGAAATGTATGATGATTTTTAGCCCCCACAAGGGGAAGACAGAAAATGAAAACTACTTATAACATGTCTTGAGCCTAACACAGGACGTGGTGAGGTTTTAGGAACATAACTTAGGGATCCAACCTCTTTTGGAGGGAAAAGGAAAGCAAAAGGCTTTTGGACTTGAAACTTGTGGTTTGAATGACTGTATGGTATATATCATATACCTGGCACTTGGAAGGTAATTGATAAATGTCTGTTGAACAAGGTTTGAACGTATGATTGAGTGAATGACAATGCATAAAATACCAATTCTCTTTTCTAAATAGGCATAGCTTTTGAGGAACTATACTAAATCACTATTAGTCTCTGTGTGTATTTTTCCTGTTTTATCCTGAGCTTCCGTTTGAGAACCACTATCCAAGGAGAAATTAATACTGAAGAGTTGGAGGCCCGCTTGACCAGAGCTTTGATGGGTAATCCTGAGACCAGTGTGGTGGTGACAGCTGTAATTGTTTAGCTGTCTGCGATGAGAAAGCATACTGCAGGGAAGAAAAGCAGGGGCTGGCTCTGTCTCTTGTGAAGAGTCTCTGTCTGTTAACTTGCAAGATGTCAGTTTTCTTTCTTAGGGGAGCTGATACAGAGCATGGCAATATGGGAAAAATAGGATATTTTCTTCTTCAACCCAATGCCGATCACAAGAGCTGGAGGAGACAGAGATGCTCTTCTGCTTCTGTCATACTGGGACTCAAAACCACAAGGGATGTAATGAACACCTGTGGGCATGCTACTCCCTTCTTATGGAATGACCCCTAAATGCAGGCATGGTCCTGTTAGTATTGTGATACCTTGACCCTCTAGCCATGGGTGACCCAAGTCAGCCCTATCAGCTTCTCTCACCCAATTTAATGTTTGCAAAGGAAATAAGCAGAGAATCAGATCAACTGGCCTAGAGTATGTCATATTCATGACAGCATTCTAGAGAGAAACCTCCCTACTCCCTTATCTAGAGAGAAATAACCAGAACTTCTAAAGTTGATCATTTGATTCTTCTGTCAAATCTCTGAGACACCTGATGTCCTTCTAGCAGTCCCTACCCTCTCCCCGTTATCTTTTGGTAAGTTAGGCTGAAATGGAGTCTAAGGTTTGCTAACTATTTTTTTAAAGCATAAATTGCACATTCAAAAGAGAAGCCGTATTTTCAAACAATACAATAAATGATGAAAAATTTTTGTACTTAAGTATATAATACCAGCAGCAAAACTCTGTAGAAAACTACATCTTTTATTTTATTTTGGAATGCTTTAGTAATGTTCATTTAAAAAATTCCACTATTTTGTAGCTATTTCTTGAATTAAATTAACAATATTTTCTGTAGAATGTGCCCAGGATTAGATTAATGGCACAATAGACATATTTATAATTTTGAGTCTTCCGATCCAAAAATAAAGTATGCATTTTCATTAATTCAAATCTTTTTTATGTCCCTTATTTTTTTTTCTTCTAAGTTTTGCACATTTTTCATTATAGCTGTTATAAGTAAAATCACTTTATTCATTATATTTTTAACTGCATTTATGAAAGGTATTGATTTTTTAATATTATTTTTGTACTTAGATATTTTAGTGAATTTTCTTATAGTTTCCAATAGTTTCTCCAGTTGATTTCCTTTTTTTTTCAGGCATAAAATCATACTATTTGAAAATAAAGATAGCTTTGCTTCATTATTTCTTACTTTACACCACTTATTTTTTCTCTCATCCAATTACATGAATAATACTTTCAGGAAAAAAAAGTGTGACTGTTAATGGTGATAGGAATTCTAGTTTTGTGGGTGGCTAATTAGAATGTTTTTAATAATAATCTATAATCTATAAACATGATACTCACTTTTGGTAGTATATTTTAAAAAGAAAGCCTAAAAATGCCTAAATTATAATAGTAAAATATTCATACAATCAAAATGCTTTACTCTTCTTAATTATTGATGTCAGTAGGTTTTTCTGCCTACTAAACCCATTTTTGCAAATCATGTGTTTTTACAAATAAATTCATATCTTTTAAAATAATATCAGAATTAACTTTTAAATACACTAAATAAAATTTGGCACTAACCTACATAAATATAGTGAAAAATAATTCCTTTTCTTAAAATTTACTATGATTAGAAAGGACTTATCCTCCTCATACAAGCAATTCTCTGCTTACACATAGAAAATGGTTAAGATTAAATTAATGGTTATTGAAATAGCATTTTTTCAAGGGTGAGCACATAACATTCACACACATGCACGCGCGCGCGCGCGCGCGCGCGCACACACACACACACACACACACACACACACACACACCTTGCTAAGATGTATATAACTGGCAGTATAGCTTAATTATGTCCCAGGCCTTCCCAGGCATTAAGTGGAAGACTAGCTCTCTCACTGTCTCCTGTAGTCCTGGAAGCTTTCCTCTCAACTGTGTTACCAGAAAGCACCTGATAACACTACCTCAGCATTTGGGTCCATTCTTATCATTTTAATAAACAATTAAAGACCAAACTCCTGAGAGAAATGTCCAAGTATTCTTTTTCCATTTTTGATCTCAGGAATTTCAAAAGAAATGATAACTTTCATTATTTCCCATGTCTTGGTGTAAGGAAAATCCTCCTACCCTTATGAAGAGCAGCAGTGACCCCTACTGCTCGAATAAGGCAGCTCCGGGTGTCAGCCAGGACAGGGATTCTTAATCTTTTCTGGGTCGTGGATCATTTTGTAAATCCACAGAAACCCATAGATCCCTTCACCAGAACAAAATTCAGGTTCTTATGTAAATACAAAATACATACAATATAGGTAATCCTTTGATCCCTGAGCTAGATAATAGGGTTACTGAGTTCTATCTAAAAGTTTTAAATGGATAATGTAATTCTGTAAATTTAAGAGAGCTTTTCAAAAGGAGCATAATCTAGTCCAATTTACCTCAATTATTACAATGTTTTTATGAGTCTGGGCTTACAATGTTTTTTTCAGGGAGATTAACAAGCTAATAGACCCGAATAGATGGTTACTATGTTGCCATAGACATATTAGAATCTTGCTTACATTTCTATAATTTATTGCCATTTAAAATCATTTGTATAGTTATTACTGTCTTTATAGTTATATGATTTAGTGTCACTAGTACAGTATATATTTTGTAATTATGATATTTCCTTGCAAGCAAGCCCTACCATCAGTGACCACTGTTAGAGAAAATCAGTTCTTAGGCAACACTTACACTCAAATTCAGAGATGATTGTATTTTCAAGTATGACCTTAACGTGTTTTATTGATTTAAATTAATGAATTTCTAAATGAGATTATCAATTCACATTGCTATACTTTTGATAGATTTCATCCCCCTCCTCAAAGTATATGCAGTATGTTCTGGGGACGAGATCAGTGGAACTGATAATGATTAAGGAACAAGCAGAGCCAGTGAAATGTTTCTCTATTCAAGTTTGTCAACGTCCACTTCCATCAATTTTTCTGTAGACGTAACAAAACACGTGTTTCTGGAGCCTCCGCTCCTTAGTCCCGAGACCCCGCCCCAGAGGCGGTCCAGAGGGAAAGGCCCGCCCCTGGACCCCAGGAAGCCTGCGGGAGACCAGCGCGCATTGCGCGGAGCTGCGTCACATCCGGCGCCAGGGCGCCAGATTCCGGAAGAGGCTGCACAGTTGTGGCGGCGGGATCTCTGTTGGTGATTAGTGTCTTTGCTGACAGAGTGGTGACATACACGGCAGCATCATGGTTGAGGTAAAGTGACATTTGGGTACTCAGGAGTAGTGTGCTCCTGGACTGGTTTCCTTTAGCGACGGGCATGGAGAATCGAGGGGATCCTAGGGAGAATAGAGCCTGCGAGGGGAGGCTGTTTGGCCGAGGCCAGGTAGCCTCTTAAGGTTTTCACGAAGAGAGAGAGGGTTTTCAAGGGATGAGAGCACGAATTGGAGGTTGCGTCCGAGCGGAAAGCCTAAGGTGCTTTCTCCACTTCTTGGACCCTCGGGCACTGGGGCTGGGCACTGCCCTCGGAGGCGGGGCTTCTGTCGATGTCCGACCACCGTGTTCGCCGCCTGCGGGGCAGTGTCAGTGGATTCTGTGCCCTGAGAGACTGGCGGTCTTCTATGGTGTCGACTTGGTCTCTTATTTCAGCGCCTCCCCCAGGAAAGCCTGCCAATTCTTGAGTTTTTGCATCGTTCCTTAGCTTCAACAAACCATTCTGTTAGCAAGCCTTGTCTGCCTTGCCTCAGAACCATTTCTTGACTTTTGTCCGTCCCCGCTGCCATCACCGTAATTCAGACCAGCATCATCTTTCATCGGGACAAATGCATTAGTTCCCGGCTGGTCTTCCATTTTTATCACACACACACTCCCCCACCCAAATCAATCTATTTGAAAACGTAAGCTGGTCCTGCTTTTCTTGCTTAAAGCCCTTTACTGGCCCTGTGCTGCTAGAGCAAAAACACAGACTGCTGCAGGGGTCTAAAAAAAAAATCCCTAACCAGACCTGGACCTTGTCTACCCTTGCAACCTCCTCTCGCATCAGAACTTACCCTGTCGCTGAATATATACAACTGTTCTGCAGCCCCCGACATTGTTTCCGTTACTGAACACCTTTGTGCATGGTGTTTTCTCTCTGCCTGGGTTGCTCTTACTTCTTTTCTGTGCAAGGCTAGCTCCCTTTCTGCTTAAATATCGCCTCAGAGAAATCGTTCATAAGTGCTTTCTGTCCTAAGTGCTGGTTCCGCTCTCTCAGTCCCTTGCTTGTTTTCTTCACAGTACTTATCAAAATGCAGAGAGTTATTTTGCTTATTTTTATTTGTTTCATCTTGGTCACAGCGACCATGACTGTCTTTTCATCCTTCTGTTGCTAGCCTCCAGCACAATACCTACCAGACACACACTAGCAGCTCAGTAAACTTTTATTGAATAAGTGACGACTCTCAGGCATCACTCAGTTGTATACTTGGGGTTCTAGCCAAAGAGGAGCTTCCTTCGCTTCTCTGAACTTGACTGCTGTAGCTTGCTACAAATAGCTGTCGTGAGTGGTACACAATTTTTAACATATTTAAACATGCAACTTAATGACTAACTTGACTTTAGGTTTGATATGTGTAATTTGTGGCTAGATATGTAATTACACTCTTTTCTTTCTAGGAAGTACAGAAACATTCTGTGCATACACTTGTGTTCAGGTCATTGAAGAGGACCCATGACATGTTTGTAGCTGATAATGGAAAACCTGTGCCTTTGGATGAAGAGAGGTAGATGAAGTTCCTTTTCCACTGCTAGAATACTTAAACTTCAAAAGTTGGGGGAAGAGAGCAGGAAGACGGGGACCTTTAAAGTTTAGTGAAAAACACTAACACACATAGGATAGCTATTCAATAATGAGTGGAGTTTGGGCATAACTTAGGCTGATTTAACTGTTTTTTGGCCTTATCTCTTACATTAATTAATTAATTGAATTTTACAAATACCCAGTAATTAGGAGAGTCCCTTTTAGTGTTTTATTTTATAATCAATCACTTTGTATGTGCTTTCAGCTTCCCTCCCGCTGCTCTCAGAGCCTTGCTGAGCTGAAATTGTACCTGGCCAGTACTTCTACTCCCATCTTTTCTCGTTAGTATGATGAAGATTTTTGAGTGGTGGCATATTTTTGGTTCTACATCTCCAGCTCCAGTCTAGGATTGCATTACGTGCAGTGTTCCTTCTTTGTCCTTCACCCTTCTTTTAAAATTTTAATTCCTCAAGCATTTCTATTTAATTTATAAAGTAGACTTTCCTTAAAAGTAATATAGTAAGTGCATTTTTAAAAAAAATACTGAACTAATTAAGTACTTTGATCAATTCTAACTAACCTTTTTTGAAACACCCAATAAAGGTTACTGTAGAAGCTTTTACTATATTTTTATATTTAGACATTTGAAGGAAAGTATATTGACTTTTAGCTTTTTTAAAAAAATATATTTGTCTCTATATATTTTAAAATCAGTTAGACCCTTGATAACTCATCATGAAAGGTTTTATATTTATTTGTTAACAAACTAAAATGTTTCTTAGACTTAATGGATGCTGCGTGGTAGATTGTGAATAAAAGTGTGGAAATGCACTTGGAAATTTTGAGCTGTTTAAACTCTTAATAGAAACTTTTTCTACATGATTAGGGAAACTTAAGTTATTTAAGTACTTGTTTTCTGGCTATCTGTGAATATATTTATTTTGGTGAATGTATTTAAAGTACTGAAAGATACAGTCTTATGTTTATAACTTTTTAAAATAGTCACAAACGAAAAATGGCAATCAAGCTGCGGAATGAGTATGGTCCTGTGTTGCATATGCCTACTTCAAAAGAAAATTTTAAAGAGAAGGGCCCTCAGAATGCATCGGATTCATATGGTCATAAACAATATCCTGCCAATCAAGGTGAGTGTGACATTGTTAAATGCCAGGATTTATATGTGAATTTTTAAAAATAAGTGAAATATCTTGTTAGTGCACCTCCTGAAAGATTTAATTAGAGCCATACCCTATTTTAACACCTGCACTAGTATTGTGATGGAAGTCTTAATTTCCTCATTGGAGTAGTGAGTGAGATATTGGTTGGTAGGTTTTTTTCTTATAGGAAATAAAAAAAGTGGTAGTATAATGGTGGCAGAAATTCTTAGGATATGGAGATTTTTACAGTGGACACTAAAGGAAAAAAAATCCTCATTTGTGGGAGGCCGTCTATGTCTTTTGGCTATAATTCAGAAAGATGATATTAAATACTGAAATTGTAGTGAATAAAGATAAACCATTTGCTTAGAAGAAAAATCAGTGGATTATTACTCTATAGGGTGACTTCTCTACATGCAATTTTTATGTAGCAAATGCACAAGCTTTCTTGACATCATGTCAGCAAATGGTCAAGGAAATCACTGTGTACATGGTCTTCGGAAGTCAAAACAAAAATGATCAACTTTATTTTTGAGGCTTGAGTTTAGTTGTGAAAATTTTAGAATTCAGTTGATAATTTAATATTATTTAATTCATTAAAAAAGATATTAGTATGTAAGATAAATTTTGCCATTGATGAATTTCTGTCTCTTTTATTTTTTTAAGGACAAGAAGTTGAATATTTGGTGACGGGTACACATCCCTACCCACCTGGACCTGGTAAGTGAGCTGTTGCATATTGAAAATGTCTTATTGTCACCTGTATTTCCATGAATGAACTAATAATATGATTCCCCTTGGCAGTAAAATACAAGATAAGCTCAATAGTCTGACATCCAGCTTTTTAGATGATAAGATAATTAGCTAATACTTAGTGTCACATCATTGATTGGGCAAACATTCTTGAGCACCTATATTTTTTCAGAAACCATGTTAGGAATTTAAAGTCTGTAAGACTGCTCCAGGCTAAGACAAGTTTATTATATGGAGGTTTAGATAGACATGTAAATATCACTAAGCTTATAAAAGTGATACTAGAAGTGTTAGTATAGAAGCAAGTATGATAGAAATGTTTCCTGGGTATGTGTATAGAGGAGTTGGCACACAAGTGGAGTGGCCAGTATGACGGAGCAGAGAATAAAAAGCTTAGTATATTTAGGTTTTAGTAATATTATAGGACAGGATTCACCATATTGAAAGTACAGGTGAATCAGTGCTTCTTACAGTAATTTACATTTACTCTTTGAAACATATTCTTAGTATTTGGGGAACTGCTTAATTTTTATATGTAACAGTAATATCCCAAAATTATAGAAATTTAACTCTACTATCTTGGGCTTTGATAATATCAAGCTGCTTTTGATTAAACCAAATATGAGTTATGTGTTGTTAAGCAATATTTGTTGTCAAAAGGTTAGTAACAAAAGACATGCAAAACATAATCAGTTTTTGTAATATCACCACCAGGAGATAATCACCATTACCTTTTTGGTATATTTTCGTCCAGTGTTTTATTTTAAATGCATGCAAATGAAAACAAAGATAGCTACTAAAAGGAATTTTTTTTTTGTGGTTTTTATTTGGTTTTGATTTTTTATTTTAACAGGGGTTGCTTTAACTGCAGATACTAAGATCCAAAGAATGCCAAGTGAATCAGCCGCACAGTCCTTAGCTGTGGCATTACCTTCCTCTCAGGCCAGGTATGAAATATGCTTATGAAATATTTAATTACAATGATTTTGAAAGCATAATTCACTGTTCACATTTTTTCTTATTTTTAAATTTCTTTATAATTGTATATTACATGACATTTTTCTTTATCAGCACTTACAAAAATTTAACACATAAAGTTCGTTCTGCAGAACACCTTACTGAAGGCATTACATACTGACGTGATTTTTTTTTTCCTCAGGGTTGACGCAAACCGCAGTGCACCTGCTGGAAGTGAATACCGACATCCTGGGGCCTCTGACCGTTCTCAGCCTGCAGGGATGACTTCAGTAAGTTTCTCTGTGTCAAATCACGCTGTAGGTTTCTATCTTTTGGAACATGTTGCCTTATTTCCCTTTATCGCAATAGTCGTATCTTAAACATTAAATAAATGAACATTTTTTTGGAATTGTTAAACAGCAGCCTAGCTAATTATTACTATTTCATAGCCCTAAATTTTAAGTTGCTAGTGGATTGACATAATTTTTAGAATTTGAAATTCTGTTAATTCTGTGTCTACTTGTATATTGTACATAATATTCTGATGAAGATAATGTGATGTTGCTGTTTATTATCCACTATTAAAAATAGAAGGAATAATATTCTGAAATTTGTATTAGTATGTTTCAGATATAAAAGCTTTTTAAAATTAAACTCTTTAAGTTGATTTGTACAGTTAGAGTTGAGTGCTATTAGCATTTTATTTTCATGGGCTACGCAACTAGTATTGTATAAGTGAACATTTAGAAATACATAAGCTTATCTATAAGTAAATGGCAGCTATAATTGGTGAAAGTAGTTAGAGAAAGAATCATTGAAAATATACCATCGCTTGAAATAAGTGTAGGCTTTATTTTTTCATTTTATTACTCAGTTGATTTGGCTTTACAGAGTACATGAATTTGTAGTCCTCCTATCACATTTCTTTTTTAGCCTCCATTCGCAGGTCTCTCTGCCCAGGCTTTCTGCCTACTTACGAGGAAGTAATGTTAGCTTCTTAAGGGTAGGAACTTCATGGGTTTAAGTAATTTTTAGATGGATGCTAATAGTAGATCGCATATTAGGCAGAATACCTTTTAAAATAGTATTGAGATATTTGAGGGGAAGATAAATAGAAGGAACTATCAGTCATTCCTTTGTAATGTTAAGTCAATGATGTTAAAATATGACAATGAAAGGCGGTGGCATTAATCTACTTAGTCACTTAAATAATAATAGGAGCTTATGTAGAGCATTTACTACTGTTAATCTTCATAATAACTGTATGAGGTAGGCACTCTTATTTTAAAAACGAGGCACAGAGGTTACATAATTTATACCCAAGGTCAATCAGTTAGCAATTGGCAGAGCTGGATTTTCAACTCATGCACAGTGATATGTGTTCTTAACTTTAGTGTTCTGCCTCTGAGATTTTTTAATTGCTTTTTAAAGTTAAAATTAACATACAGAAAATACAGTTTTGATTAGAAGTCTTAGATTCATTTTTTAATTATGCAAACATTTTTAGCTGTCCTTTTTTCTTCATATAAGGCAAAAAATTTAGGTAATTCCCTTTGAATTTCCATTTTTGAATTGATAACCTGAAAACTTAAGTATTCTATATTTAATAGTAATGTGATCTGTTCCATATCCAGGCTGTTATGGAGGTTGGCAATGCCAAGAACTCTGCACTGATGGCTAAAAAAGCCCCTACAATGCCAAAACCCCAGTGGCACCCACCATGGAAACTCTACAGGGTAGGTGAATCTGCACGTTATTCCACTGCATGAAATACTGTCACTGCTTTCCGGTTGACAAGAGCTGAGTAATAGAATAAGGAGAAAAAGGAGTGAATATGAGAACTGGTAATGTGACCTGAGGTGAGATGGGAGAAGGGGCTTAGGCACTGTCTGAAAAGATATCTTGGGAAGGAGATTTCTTTAAGTAAAAGTTATACTTGTATTTTGTGTAAAATATAGTATAAAATATTGATAGAGAGCTACTTAATGTAAAGAGAGATGAAATACATTTAAGAAAGTGAGATATTTAATATGGAGGCTAAGGGGAAAACCAGTATATTAGGACATTCCTTTGGCCCTACTGATCATCTTGTCATTATAGTAAATTGAAATGATTCAGATGTTCCAGATCTAAAATAAAATGTGTATAGTAGGAAAAGTACAGCTACACATAATTTTGTATATATATTAAATTTTACTTTTCAGATTATCATATAGCAAAATAGGTTTTCTTTTGCTGTACAGATCTAATCAAGTTAGTAGATACATAGATTTGAGTAACCATATCACAGTCAGGATATAGAAGTTGTGTTGACTCGAAAAACACCCCCATGCTATTTTTTTTTATAGCTGTTCCCTTCTGCAACCCTGGCAACCATTGATTTGTTTCCCATCATGTAGTTGTGTCTTTTCAACTTTGTCATGTAAATGGAATCATTCAGTATGTAACTTTTGAGATTGACTTTCTTCATTCAGCTTAATGCCCTTGACATTTTCATCCAAGTTGTTGCCAGTGTTAATACATTCCTTTTTATTGCTGAATAGTAGTATTCCATTGTATAGATATACCACAGTTTATGTAGTCATTCATGGATTAAAGGTAATTTAATACTTATTCTAAAATCTAATTGTCAAATACTCTTATAAGATGTGGGGAAGGGCAATTCAAACTTAAATAAACTTTAACTTATGTGTAATGAGTTGAAATTGAATGACCTTAAACTTATATCTGCCCATTCCACCTTTTTAAATTTATTTTTTTATTTTTCAATTATAGTTGATATTCAATATTATTTTATATTAATTTCAAGTGTACAGTGTAATGGTTAGACATTTATATAATTTATGAAGTGATCTATCTGGTTAGTCTGGTACCTACCTGACACTATGTATAGTTATCATGCTGTAGTTTACATTCCCATGACTATTTTGTAACTACCAATTTGTACTTCTTAATCCCTTCACCTTTTTCACCCCACCTCATAACCCTCTTCCCATCCGGCAACCATCAGTTTATTCTCTGTATCTGTGAGTCTGTTTCTGTTTTTGTTGTTGTTGTTTATTTCTTTAGATTCCACATATAAGTAAGATCATTATGATATTTGTCTTTCTCTGACTTACTTCACTTAGCATAATACCCTTCTGTTCCATCGATGTTGTCACCAGTGGTAAGATTTCATTTTTTTAATGGCTAGTGTTCCATTATATAAATGTACCATATCTTTACCCGACTGTCTACTGATGGGCACTTAGGTTGCTTCCATATCTTGGCTGTTGTAAGTAGCGCTGCAGTGAACAAAGGGGTGCATATAGCTTTCCGAATTAGTGTTTTGGATTTCTTCAGTTAAATACCCAGAAGTTGAATTGCTGGGTCATATGGTAGTTCTATTTTTAATTTTTTTGAAATACCTCCTAACCATTTTCCATAGTGGCTGTACCACTTTGCAGTCCTACCCACAGTGCACAAGAGTTCCCTTTTCTTCACATCCTTACCAACATTTGCTGTTTCTTGTCGTTTTGATGGTACCCGTTCTGACAGGTGTGAGGTGATATCTCATTGTGGTTTTAATATGCATTTCTCTAATGATTAGTGGTGTTGAACATCTTTTCATATGTCTGTTGGCCATCTGTGTGTCCTCTTCGGAGAAATGTCTATTCAGGTCCTTTGCCCAAAGATGGGGTATTCTTAACCAAGGTGGTAATTCATACTGAGAAAATAATCTGTAAATCATTACTAAAACTGTAAGCTGTGGAATAGTTAACAAAAACAAGCACAAAATCATGACCTTCCCCAGACTTGGAGTCTTTGAGTATGGTTTTCTCAAAAACAGACAGACCAAAAATTATATTAATACCAATTTCTTATTGGTTATTGATATTTATGATATTGCTCCTACATTCAGTTTGTGAGAATATAGAAACATATTCATCAAATAGATGACATTATGCTGTTTATTTTGCACATAAATCTGGGTAACTAAGTTGTAGTAGCTAAAAGGAATAGATTAGACAAAATTCTATCTGATATTTACAACTAAAACAGTTCTTAAAAATAATTTACTTATTTTGGAAGATTCTATTCAATTGTATTCAATGGAAAAGAGTAAATAAATCAACAGATAATTTGGTATTTCAACTAGGCTTTCATAAGAAGTTATGAGAGATTATTTTTTTTCTATCATATTTAGTTGAAATCAATGGAGCGTTTATTTATCTTAGTTTTATCTTTAGTTTAAAAAAAAGTCATAATAATGGAAAGACGCTTGGAATGGAAGTTCAAGAAATAAATTTGAATGTCAGGTTTACTGCTATGTCCCTGAATAAGTCACTAAGACTGTTAGGGTCTTCAGTCTCATTGCTATCTGTTTCATTTGCATTTCTCTGATGATTAGTGATGTTGAGCATCTTTTTGTATGCCTGTTTTCTTTGAAGAAATGTATATTCAGGTTCTATGCCATTTTTTAATTGGATTGTTTGGTTTTTTTGGTTTGTATGAGTTTTTTATAAATTTTGGACATTAATTCCATATCAGATGTATCGTTGACAAATATCTTCTCAGTATGTGTCTTTTCGTTTTGTTGATGGTTTCCTTGGCTGTGCAAATTAGTTTGATGTAGTCCCATTTGTTGTTTTTGTTTGTTTGTTTGTTTCCCTTGCCCGAGGAGATATATCAGAAAAAAGATTACTAAGAGCAGTGCCAGAGAGTTTACTGTCTATGCTTTATTCTAGTAGACTGTCTTTACCCCAGTGTGTATTGTTGTCTCTTTTGTCATAGATTAAATGACCATATAGGCATGGGTTTATTTCTGGGACCTCTGTTCTGTTCCATTGATCTTTGTGTCTGTCTTTATGCCAGTACCATGCTGTTTTGATTACTATTGCCTTGTAGTAAAGTTTGATATCAGGTAGCACCATTCCACCTTTTTTTTAATACAGGTGATCAGTGGGCATCTGGGCTGGGTTCGATGTATTGCTGTGGAACCTGGAAATCAGTGGTTTGTTACTGGATCTGCTGACAGAACTATAAAGGTAATAAGGAGGGAAGAAAAAAATAAACATGACTTTGGGTTTGCCATGTGTATTTAACCTATTTAAAGTTATTTCTTCTGGTGGGACTTGCTTTTGTAGTTCCTTTGATTTCTGAGTATGGTATAAAATTTATTATATATACCAGTTAATAAATATCTGTTTAAAAAGTGATATTTAAACAACAGTTTTTTCCAAATAGTACATGCTGTCTACCTGCCACTTGATATTTAAGTTTTTTGCTTCTCTGGTTATAAAATTAAAGCATGCTCATCTGTAAAAAAAATGTGAAAATTATAGAGAAATATAAAAGAACATAAACCCACATATAATCCTACCACTGTCAGATATTTGAATTTCTTTTTAGTATTTATTTCTGTGCATGTGTCAGTGCATTTTCTTCTGAGCTTTTATCCTGTGTGTATAAATGTGTATCTTTTAAAAATCCTGCCTGATATGTAATTTTGAACCATGCTTTTTTTCACTTAACATTGTATCAAAGATATATCCCTGTGAAAAAGTCAAACATTTTTTTAAGTGGTTCCATGGTATTATATCATTAGATATTCTATAATCTATTTTTTTATTATTGGAGACTAAAGTTTTTAGTTTCCTGACTTTCACTATCACAAGGAATGCTGTAATTAATCTTTGTACCTGGAGTTTTTTCTGTCTTTTAAATTATTTTATGATAGATTTCCAGAAATGGAATAATGGGTCAAGCATTTTTTAATTTGGCACCCAAAGTATAAATTATTTTCTAAAATGGTGCATTGATACTTGCAGCATATGAGAGGATTCTTTTCAGCCTATTGATTGTGTATCTTTAAAAATATCCACTAACATGATAAGCAGGAGTGGTTATCTGATTTTTTAAAAACTATATACAGTATGTGAAATTCCTGGTGAGAACTTTTTGATAACCTTGTAAAGCTACTTTTAAGGTTTTAAAATTTTTTATTGAGTTATAATTGACATACATTAGGTTAGTTCCAGGTGTACAACATAATGATTCTATATTTGTATACATTGTGAAATGCTCATCACAGTAAGTCTAGTTAACGTCCGTCACCATACCTAGTTATATAATTTATTTTTCTTGTGATAAAAACTTTTAAGATCTCTTTTAACAACTTTCAAATATGCAATACAGCATTATTAATCATAGTCACCATGCATACATTACACTAACATTAATTTATAACGGGAAGTTTGTACCCTTTGACTCTCTCCACCCATTATACCCACCCTTTACCCCTGGCTCCTGGCAACCACCAGTCTGTTCTCTGTATCTATGAGCTTAGTTTTTCAGGGTTTTCTTTTTAGATTCCATATGTAAGGGAGATCATGTATTATTTGTCTTTCTCTCTCTGACTTATTTTACTTAACATAATGCCCTCACAGTCCATCCATGTTGTTGCAAATGGCAAGATTTCATTCTTTTTTATGACTGAATAATATTCCATTATATGTATATATACCACATTTTTTTATCCATTCACCCATCAGTGGACACTGAGGCTGTTTCCATAGGGGTTTTTTAAGTTGTTGCCATCCTTGGCTAATTTAATACCCTGGTGTTCATACTTTTGTTCCCAGTGATAGCCTTTACATATTAAGAATGTTAACCTTTTGTCATCTGTTACAAATATTTTTCCAGTTTGATCATGCTTTTTAATTTTTTTTTCCCCCTGCTTTTATTTTTGATGGTGGGTTGTTTTGCAAATTAACAAATTTTCACATGTTTATAGCTCACTTTTTGGAGACTTAATTTTAACATCAAGATTCTAAAACTTTGGGATAATCAACAAGAATGAAAATTAAGTATTCTTTGATTGCAGATCTGGGACTTGGCTAGTGGCAAACTAAAACTGTCATTAACTGGGCACATCAGTACAGTGCGTGGTGTGATAGTAAGCTCAAGGAGCCCATACCTGTTCTCCTGTGGAGAAGACAAACAAGTCAAATGCTGGGACCTTGAATATAATAAGGTAAGCTTGGATTTAAGGATTTAAAACATGTGCCTCTGTTCGTTTTTTCTTTCTTTCTTTTTTAAATTAAAATTTAATGGGGTGACAATGGTTAGTAAAATCACATAGGTTTCAGGTGTACAATTCTGTGATAGATCATCTGTATATTGCATTGTGTGTTCACCACCCAGAGTTAGTTCTCCCATCGTTATATATATGACCCCAGTTAGCCACTGTTTTTCTAATAGAGACTTTAACTTTCCTGCTTTGCTTGTAGGTTATAAGGCACTATCATGGACATCTAAGTGCAGTGTATGGTTTGGATTTGCACCCAACAATTGATGTGCTGGTAACCTGTAGTCGAGATTCAACTGCACGGGTAAATGAAACAGAGCTTTGTGTTTTTCTGTAAATATTATTACACCTTACAGTATGCATATTTGGTATCGGAGTCGTATATTGATAGAGAAAGATAGTTACCTTCACCCACCAGTAACCTGGTCCCTCTATTGGTTGACTTGTATGTTTTTCCACCTTCCTTTTCAGTTCTGTGACCTCACCATGTTTATTATTGGAGTGTTCTGCCCCTGAAATGTGACACTCATATTCCATTCAGTAGCTCCATTATACCCATTCTTAGACTTGCAGTCCCCTGATTTTTTAGCTTTTTTTTTGTCAGCTATCGCCTGTCTACATTCCCCAGCCAGCTTAGAGATTATCTTTCATTTAAGTGGTTTCTTTATTATATTCAGGCATAGTAGTGTAGTAAATTCCCAGCCTTGAATTTATTCAGTTTCCTGCCTGAGATATAGATACCTGTTCTCTTTGACAGTATGTCTATTGTGTTTTTATAGATTTGGGATGTGAGAACGAAAGCCAGTGTACACACATTATCTGGACACACAAACGCAGTTGCTACAGTGAGGTGTCAAGCTGCAGAACCACAAATTATTACTGGTACAGTCGATACTTTTCAAGTTTACAATATATTCATGTCAGAATGCATTATGATTACACATAAGTTTTTCATATTTACTATGACTCATGTTTCTGTGTGCATTTGGAATTTATTGTAACATTTCATTCTATTGTTTTTATTTTATACTTTACATATAGAGCATGTCATGCGCGGTATCATGTAGTATCAGACTAGGAAATGGGGATGTTAGATAAATTAAACATTATTTCATAGGATCAAAATTACTGGTCTAGGAAACTAAAGTTAGAAGACAAGATACCCTGAGAACAATAACCTTTGGAGCTATTTTGAATCTTGTTTTGCTTAAAATAATGTTAATAACAATAGATCTTTAAGACTAGAAAATAATTCCTTGATATACTTTATTAACTAAAAAATCACTTGAGTTTTTTCCTCTCCATTTGTTTTGTTATTCACATTTGTTCTAGCTGTTCAGGTAACAGTGCATCAAGAATTTATTACATTTTTTTAAGAATTAAATTTAAAACCAACCTAAAATTTTGGAAGGACAAAACAATTAGCCAAGAGTTGATATGACTTTCATTTAGTATATATGTGTCTATGAAAGAACACTTCATGTTTTATTATACTTAACTTTTGTATTCTTGTTCCTGATCTGTGTTTTGGGGATGTGTGTGTATTTTCATTATAGGAAGCCATGACACTACAATACGATTATGGGATCTGGTGGCTGGAAAAACAAGAGTCACATTAACAAATCACAAGAAATCAGTCAGGGCCGTGGTGTTACATCCAAGACAGTAAGTGTACTTTCCTGATTAGTTTCTCTTCTTTCTTTAATCCTTAGTATAGTACAGAAATACCAGCATTAGTACTACTTTGGAAGTCATTTAGACACCGTTGTTTGCAGGCCTGTACCACTCATGAGCATGCATTTCTTTTATTTTCCCTGTATACTATTTTTCTTCATGTCCTATATGAGATGAGGAAAGTTTTCTACATGGTAAAGAATGATAATGTCAAATGAGGTGATATGAATAAATTATGGTTAAAAACTGCATGTCAAAATAGAAGCTAATAGTAGCTAGATTTAATGTTTTGGAGGTAAGTGTTATTTATTGTACACTGAGATATACATAGAATAGTTTAATTCTTAAGGGGGAAGTTAATACACAGTGGGGGGTGGAGTGGGGAATAGGAACCGTTTGCATTATAGTCAGGGTACCTGAAGAGAGGAGCATCATATCCCAAGCTAGTTTGTCATATCACATCACCCTGACATTTTTCTGGCTACATTCATGTCTTTTCTCTCTTCCCTCTCCTTCTCTCTCTTTCTTCTCTTTCTTACCCTTACTCCCTCTCTCCTGCTTTCTCCCTTTCCCTGTCTTCCTCATTCTCTTTCGTCCTCTCCCTCCTTCTCTCTCTCTCTCTTCCTCTCGCCCTCTGTTTCTTTCCTTTTCTCTCCTCCTCCTGTTATCCTCTTTTCTTCCCTCTCTTCTCGCTCTCTTTCCAAAATAGTTGCATAACCCCTTGCCTTTTATGTGAATTTAGGGGTTTGCACATTTATTGCCCTAGCTCAGTGTAACGCACTGGGGAGATGACAGTAAAACATTAATCTGGGTCTTAAAATATGTTTAAAATCATTTGAAAATCTTATGTAACTTGGAACCAATGTCTTGATATTTTTACCTCTTGGTGTGACAATAATATTTTGCTAAAACTACAAAAATCAGTGAATACACGTGCAAAATACAACCATAATAAGCTTCTTTAAATCTACCATTTTATTTAACTAGGTTTACTTTGTCATTAATTGTTTTTAATCTTATTTCAGTTACACGTTTGCATCTGGTTCTCCAGATAACATAAAACAGTGGAAATTCCCTGATGGAAGTTTTATTCAAAATCTTTCTGGTCATAATGCTATTATTAACACATTGACAGTAAATTCTGATGGAGTGCTTGTATCTGGAGGTAAAATAAGATTCTTAGATAAATGTATTTTAGTCTGTCACTTTTTCTTTTAGTGAATGAATAAACATTTGTAAAATTTCTAAGCCATCACACCTAAGTATTATAGCAAAACTTGCCTAATTAATGCGTATTTGAGTGTTTATATGTGTGTTCATGCTTATTCATAATACATGTAGCATATTTCATAGTTCAACCTTCTTTGAGTTCCCACATGATAAGTCTAAGGGATTTATGCTGGGAATTACCTAAAGTTTGGTTGTGAGTTCTGGAATTTTATGTTATTTTGTTGTGCTTTTTGAGATCTATAACTAATTCTGAATTAAGCACAATTGAAGGTGGACAATCCAATATTCAGAGAAACTTGAGTGCCTGTGTTTTGTATGTCTTTATAATTGTAGTAATTGCCATGGTGCTTGGCTAATGAATGGTGCTTAATAAGTGTTGTCAAGCTGAATTGTTGAAGGGATACCAAGTTTAACTGGATCTTTCCCTTTAAGCTGACAATGGCACTATGCATCTTTGGGACTGGAGGACCGGCTACAATTTCCAGAGAGTTCATGCAGCAGTGCAGCCTGGGTCTTTGGACAGCGAATCAGGAATATTTGCTTGTGCTTTTGACCAGTCTGAAAGTCGGTTACTAACAGCTGAAGCTGATAAAACCATTAAAGTGTACAGAGAGGATGATACAGCAGTAAGTTCTCTATTTCACATACATTTTACAGTAAAATAAATCAGCCATACCAATTTTGCAAGTGTTTTCTCATTTTAAAGTTACTGAAATTCTCAGAAGGGAAAATAATCTTTATAGTATTAAAGTATTTATCATCTTGAATAGTATCTGCTCATACTAGATTTCTGTATTGGTTTCATTGATGCCAGTGAATCCATAGATTGTTTTAATTTTATTCCAGCTTTCCTTATTACAGTAACTGGGAAAATCTTGCACTGAGAAAAACAGCAAGTAAATAAATTGCTATTTACATTAATTCTAGAATCATCAACTTTAGTGTTACTAAAATATTTAAATAGCAATTTTATTTGAGATGAAAAACCATAAACTGAATTTGTAGTGAACCCATTCATCTTTATTAATTTCAGATAGTGCCAAAAGTTTGTCAGCTGTTCCTAAAATTGTTAAATAACTGCTAAATATATAATACCAAGTAATATACTTGGTATACCTTATTTTTGTTAGGAAGGAGTTATGAAGCAAACTAATAATACTTTTCTTATTTACTTTTCTATTTTTAGACAGAAGAAACTCATCCAGTCAGCTGGAAGCCAGAAATTATCAAGAGAAAGAGATTTTAATGTGGCATTGTCTTCATGGTGGTTTCTTTTCTTTTTTTTAGCTTGTCATTGATGAGGATATCCAGTCATTTTGTTCTATGGCTAGAGATGTAAAGCAGAAACTCAAATGCTTGAATCATTGCTGCTTCATATTTTACAATAAACTGCCCCTCCCCCCTATGTTTTTATTTCTAAAATAAACAATTTGAGATCCTAGGAAGTAAGATGCAGATATCAAGCATATGCAAGTTTGTTGAAAATAACTATTCTAAAAATACAAATTTTGTCAATTTTTATTAAAAGAAATCTTTTTTTTAACTTACAGAACTGCTTACTATAATTTAAACATGTTTTGAGCAGAGCATTCATTTTTTTTAATCCCTTGGAAACTAGGTATCTGTGACTGATAATTTGAGATTAAAGGATTTGAAGTCTCAATATATGTATATTTATTCCACAAACAGTATTTGAGTGCATGCTCTGCAAAGTTCTGCACTAGATACTGTTCAGGAAATAAAAAATAAGATGTGTCTGTCTTCCAAGACTTCCCAGTTTAGTAGCTTATTATAGAATGTTGTAATACAGGTTTACATGAAAAGGTGGGGTAGTACAGAGGAAAAGACCATTAATGCTTCCTGGGAGGATTGCGGAAGACTTTAATGGTGGAAGTGGTTATTTGAACTGAGCCTTGACAGGGCAGACAAGGAAAAGGGTATTCTAAGAGGAGGCATAAAGTGAATGAAACCAGACATGTGCAAGTGTGGTGTGTTCTGGAAGCAAAGTCTGTGCTGCAGTTGAGTGAGTACGACTGGTTGGTAGTTGGGAAATCTCCTGTTTGGGTCTGGATTTTATTCCATAAGCAGTAGGATGCCAGTATAGGTATCAAAACCTGGAGAAATAACTGACGATACTAGTAGAAGCATTTGAAGCTGTAGCAAGGGCTGCAGTCTTTCATGAAGACTATAAACTAATACCTATGCCTCCTGGTAAATACGAATTTGTAAACCCTGCCCTTAGGGTCCTGATTCCCCATCAGTCAAGATTTGTCAAACTTTCTATAGTTAGAAAATATGGTTATAAGAACAAATGATTTAAATTCCTTTTCAAAATAAAAAGTTGCATCATAATTTTCAATAAGCGTTTCCAAATTATATACATCCCATCTTGCATGCCATAGGTGGGAGTATAATTATTACAACATTTAGGTGGGTAGTTTTCCAGAGTATATTGAAAATGCTTGAACTCTTTTGCTAACTTTTCATTAGAAATGAAATTTCTAGGAAGCTGCCTAATAGGAATAATCTGGTAAGTGTACACAAGAAAGTTCATTGCACCATTGTTCTTTAATAGTTAAAACTAGCCCAGATGTCCTATCAAATCAATAAGGGACTGGTTTAATAGATTGTGGTACCTTCATGCAATTTATTTCTATCAATTAAGAGTGAGGAATGTCTGGACTAATAAGATGTTCAAACTTTGCTCTTAAGGAAGAAAAGTTGTGCAAGCATTTTTTTGTAAAATGACTTGTTAATTCTCTAAAAAATAATGGAGAAGTAGCTCCACATTGTTATCAGTGGCTTTGTGAGGGAGTGGAATTAATGGGAGAACTTTCACGATCTGCTTTATATATTTCTATAATGTTTTAATTTTTTAAAAGCATGTATTTTGTAAACTTAAATAAAGAAGAACCCCACTACACTTGCATCCCTGAGAGATTCTAATATGCCTTCTAACAGAAGAAAAAGCAAAGATGTGAATAGTATCTCACCCCAGAGCAAGAACAAATTATCCTGCCTAGCAAGTTTCCGCTATTGTATTTGTTAGGTACAAATATGAAATTCTGAATAGCATTTAGAAAATTCATTTCCCTGCTTCCTGTATGCAGTCCTGTATTTCGGTGTTCTTGAATCCTCTTGCAGACAGTTCAGACGTGGTCTTGAATCCCATGAAATTGTAAGCAGAATTTCATGCATGTGCCCTTCTCTTTCTTACTTGCAGAACCCCAACCCCGGATTAAACCCAAATCTCTTACTGTGCCTATGCCTTAAGTACACTCAAACTGTGAAATGGTACCAGCGGGAAACAGCTGTGCTTACTGGACTCTGTTGATTTATGACCACGTGGCTCAAGTGGACCATCAACAGTGACCACATACACATTTCCATGGTTAATGTCTTCTGCCAGGATCCTGTTAAAAAGGGTGAACTACCCACTTTAGGGACAACTTCTCCAAATATACAATTGTTAACACTCGTCTACTCAAGGACTTGTTCCTACAATTAACACTTTTCTCTTCATAAATTCCTTCCCTTTTAACCAAATGATTCTCATCAAATGTTTTATTTAAATATGTATTTAATATATGTATTTAAGTAGGCTTGCCTTAAAGACCTAATGTTCCCTTCTAAGTATGTACCCATTTTTATTTCCTTTTATAGCAAAACTAGAATTTTCATAATCTTATCTCTATAATTTGCTCACTTTCCATCCTCTCAGCTGACTCCAATGCAAAATTAATGAAAACAAATGTGTTAGTCATTGTTCTTAGAAAAATAGAAGAAACTTTATGAGGGAGTTGATAGAAAATAGGAAAATAGTGAAATATAGATTTGGTAAAAAAACCTAAATGTTGCCTTTTTGGTATAGAAATTAGATAAGCAAGAATCAAATATCCTAAAACTGATAAAGAGAGTGGGGAAAAGACTTTTCTGCTCAATTCTATACTATTATTTTTAAAGAGCCAAGTAAAATGACTAATTTTAAAGAAAAGCAAATTATGTGATTCCGAAAGATACAGAAAATGTAAGCAGATTCATTACCATGGAACCGGAGTTGTCAAGGAGTTAACCTCTGAGCTCACCACCACCGGCATACATCTCCAAGCTCCCAGAGCTTCAGAACAGAATACTAATTCTAATGCACTTTAAATTTTTCTAGGACCCAGATAAAGAAGGAAAGCTTTCATGTCTTTCAAAATGTGAGCATAATGAAGATACCCAAATCCAATAAAGCACAAATAAAGGAAATGGTGATTTGATCTTGCTTATGGATATCAATGCAGAAATGATTAGTAAAGCCTAACAAAGAAGCAGCACAGATCCAAGGGGAGTACAAAGATGGTTCATTATTAGGAAATAATATAATTCACCATATTGGTTTACATAAGGAGAAAAATCATGAACAAAATAACTGGACGCCAATTGGCAAAAGAGGCTGGGAAGTGGTGTTTTCCTGACCCCCGGCCCCACAGCATTACAGAGTAGAGAACGGAAGACTGGCCTGGGGCTGGTTGACGGTACGTAAAGAACGAAGTCTTTTTTATTTTATTTTTTATTAGTTTCAGGTACAGAACAATGCAATAGTTACCATTTTCACCCTCACAAAGTAACAACCCCCCTCCCCCATCTATTGCCCTCCCACCCCCGATATCA